CGGAGAAGGGTTCCAGGGGTTCAGATCTTGATGTGGTAAAATTCGGTAGGGTTAGGAGTTAGGGTGAGAGTTGGATGTGCGTATAGGGTGGATCGTCGTGTGGAGAGGATCGTCGTAGGGCAGTTGGTGGAGACTCGAGCTAATGTCAGCAACTAACAATCCAACTGGACTGAGCTACGACAATGCTGAGGAGACAGACGAGAGGAATGTGAGTGAGAAAAGACCAGCTTGAGTCTGGCTTGTTATTGAGCAGTACGAGCTCCTTATATACATGTCAGACTCAATACCTAGATTATACTACAAATATACGGAGGCGTATGGAAAGTAAAAGAATACTGTAGAATCCGGGAGAACCATCCGAAATCTGTAATATTCATGACATGCTTAAAGCTGCTTGACCACGAAACTGGTCTGTACTACTCCCAACTTCTCCTGGGTCAACATGAGCCAAGTCTTGTGCCAAATGAGATGCAAATGCAAATGCAAATGCAAACATGCAAGTGACCATATCTGAGTAGGCTTTGCCTTCCCCTTTCCTGCCCTGCTGGGTGCTGTAGGCAAAATCTTAACCTTCTTACTCTTCTTACTCGAAGAACCCTTGGGCCTCAAAACCTTGCGGGCTCCAAGGTAAATGATGTCTAGATCTTCGTCTGAGGCTGGTAGGGGGCTGGTGGTCTTCAGCTTTATTGTCTGATGACATGATGGTTGCGGCGAGGTTCAAGGCGAGGTTCAATGGAGAGCTGTTGACCAGGATTGTCGACTGATGATGTCACCTAGGAGCTCTGCACTGGCTGAGGTCCTGGCAGACCCCACAAAGATACAATATGCCATTTATAGTAGGCAATCACTCTGACCGCCATCTGCGTGATGATGGCGGCAACGACTGTTCCTCAACCTCAACAACTGCCCATACTACTCTCACCAACTCCTGACTTCCTGCAACGACTGCCTGCGCATCGAACTTCTCACAGCCTACAACATATCATGGTGTATTGATCATCGATAGACTCGTAGAACTGCGTGCTGGAAGGACGACACTTGCATAGTCACAATGTTGACTTTATGATTTGCACCTGTTCGTCTGGGCCCGACCTCATTTTAGGTGCAAGTTGTACTTCAAATTATGTGCGTTCGGTAGGCCAATAGGAGAACGTCCGGGTGTTGGATGTGATTGGATTAGTTGACATGCCGTCGCTTTGCGTTAGGCTTCATTGAGGCTTTAGAAGCATTGATCAACATCATCAACGCACACCCCATGCATGTTGGTTGGAACCCACTCACACTGGCCATGATGCATGAGTGGTAAGTGCAGTTTTTTGCTTGTATAATCGGTCAAAAGCTGGATAAACAAGGACCAATTTTCATCCGAGACAACTCAGACACAAAACTTCCTTTTTCACTAGTTTTGCCGCGTTATGGCCCCTTTTGGCAGGGAAAAAACCGCGCTTACCACCCTGCCAAGACGCATAAGCGACTTTCCCGCTGGTAACGAAGTCTGAGAGATGGCGACAACCAACTTGACAGGTGGTCGACCGCAACGCAAGGCTGCGCAGTCAGACCCCACGTGTTGATGCCTTTCCCAGGCAAACCCAGAACGTGCGGAGACGACATTGGCGGTAACTCTATCGGAGGTCGCAGTTTCGTGAAAGAGACGTGTCCCTGATTGGAGAACGGAGTTACAATGCCGCACTCGTATTTGTACATTGCAGCATAATATGAACTTTCGCAGGCCAGGGGCGGAGCAGCACGAAACCCCCAAACTTTTGCTTTTTACACGGACTGAGCCTTCTTGGCATCGAGGATGACGTCCCGCAGACGCTTGATCGCCTCTTCGACCTCCTCTGGCGGGAGGAGACTGAACGCAGCGCGGACGTACGCCGTCTTCCTGCCATTGGGCAAGAACACCGTGCCCGGCAGCGCGAGCACCCCGCGCTCGACAGCGTTCGTGCGAATGATGCTCTCCGAGTCGCCCTCTTCGGTGTCCGAGCCGACGAGCAGCTTGAACCTGCGCGGCGAGAACATCGTCAGCTCCGCAGCCAGACCTGCATGCCTGGGGAGGACGGGGACGCACCAGAAGAACATGCCCGCCTCGGGCGCGTCCCACTCGGCGAGCCCGGCGAGGTGCGTGCGCATCGCGCGCTCGAAGACGTCGCGCTTCGTGCGGTAGAACGCCGACACGGCGGCCGTGTGCGCGCGGAAGCCGGCGTAGCCCCACGCGTCGAGGAGCGCGAACGCGATGGACTGCGTCAGCGAGGGCGTCTGCAGGCTTGCAACGGCGGTCTGGACACGGCGCGGCGCGTGAGCGTCATCAAAGACATCAAGGTGTAGATGGGTGAGATGGGGGACGGACGTGCATGTCGATCACGGTCATCAGCGCGTCGGGCCCGCAGAGGAAGCCGATGCGGATGCCCGCGGAGAGGATCTTGGACAGGCTGTCGAAGCGCAGGACGCGGCCGACCTCGGGCTGCTCGAGCTCGAGCGAGAAGTAGGAGGGCGCCCGGACGGCGTCGCCGTAGTAGAGATAGTAGTAGGGGTCGTCTGATTAAACGTGCGTCAGGGAGGAGGCCGGCAACGGAACAGAGGAACAAACCTTCGAGGATGAGGAAGTTGTGCTCTCGTGCAAGCCGGAGAACCTCGCGGCGGCGTTCTAGAGTCGCGGTCATGCCCGTCGGGTTGCAGCCGTACTGATATTCACTGTCATTCGAACCATCAATACATAGGGTAGCGCTGAAACTTACCGGAACGGTGTATAGGGCCTTGGGTTTGGGCTTGCCTGCCGGCCAGTTCTCGAGGACAGAACGAAGAGAGTCAGATGAGATGCCCTGAGAGTCTGTCTGTACCTCTGAAGCAGCCATCAGCGATTGCGCGCTCAGAAGAGGCAAAGGATACGACATACCGACTAAATCAAGACGCAGAGCAGTGAACATCGGAATGACGCCACTATGACCTGCAGTGAGATTATGGAAATACCGTCTGGAGAGGTGTCGCGCACGCATAAACGGGTGATTCGACCAAGAGGGAGTCACCTAGGTTGAAGATCGCGTTGACCGCCTGTGCATGCTTTGAGCCACCAGCGCAACCCAATTCAGGAGAACCGCCGTACCTTGTAGATCACATCTTGAGAACCAGATCCGATGCTCACTCTCCAGCCTTCGCCCTTCTTGCGACCATGCTCTTTTTCTTGCAAGCCGTACACCCATTCGATCAGCGACGGAATACCCGCTGTTGGACCATACTGCAGGCCTTCCGCGAGTGCGTTCCCGCTGAGATCGGTGGTGATCTCCTGTTCTGGATCAGTCGGAGAGCGCGCTTTGAGCTGAATGGAAGTTAACGGGAAGGTGGTCGCGTTGGGCTTTCCGGCAAGCAGAGAGATGAGGCCAGGCCGAGATTCGAGGGGATAGAGCCCCCGGACTGTTGGTGCAAAGTAAAGGCATGGTGGGATGGCTCCAGCAGATGATCGATCTGCAACATACTTGGTGAAGGCTTCCTCTCCTTTGCTGCGTCGGAGAGAAATTGAGAGTAAACCTCGGCTGGGAGAGACTTTTTGGGTCCTCGGCGATGAGCCTGCAGAAGAGCTGCGGACAGCGTCGAGCTCACCGTGACCATCGCGGTTCAAGAATATTTTATCAATATTAACGATGTATTTTAGCTTGAGTTACGAAACTAGTCTAGATCTGACTCGGCCTTTGGCCAGAAACTTGGCCACGTGCGCTGCAAAGGCAAGCCGACAAGCTGGCGTCGGCAGTTCCCGCGCGGTTTTATTCCCTATTCCTCGGACTCGTCCTCCGCCACCGCCGCCCCGTCCTCAGCCCGTCCACAGCTCGTCTGCGAGATTATTTGTGACTCCATCCAACGTCCAGGCTGGATAATGCAGCGCACAGGCATGGGTTTCAGCAGCCAAGTTCGACTCTACACAGCTTGTCACCTGCCACCGGGATGCGGGTACTCCCAGTTCGTCCGCCGTCGATCCCCAACATTCGCCCAGCTTCCCTCCGACATTGCGCCCAAGATCACCAAACTCTCTTCAAAGCGATATCGATACCCACAAATCCGTCGCGTGCCCACACAGTTGCGATCGATATCGTATTTCCAGGCTATTCCGAGGGCGTCTTTGGGCCGTTGTATTACTCGCTGCACTTATCCGGAACGCCTCACCCCTTTGCTGCTCCGTCTCTCGCCTAGGACGTCCGACTGTATATAAGCCATCTCGCACGCCTGTGCAGCACCACCGTGTCCGCTGTCAACAGCATCCCTGTCTGCTCAGAACGATGTCCACCAGCTCGACACCCCCTCTGTCCCCTCTTCAATCCTTCAATGATACTGCGAATTCGCTACTGGTCTTTGACCGTTTCCCTGTCGAGGTCTTTGACGTCGTCTTCGACTTTGTGCGCATCGAGGACGAACGAGGACGAACGGACAAGAGAACGCTCTTCTCGTGCTCGCGCGTTTCAAAGGCGTGGCACAGCCTCACCCTGCGCCATCGCTTCCACTCCGTCTCGCTCTTCGCCAGGACAGGGAACCCGTACGAGCAGCGCATACGCAAAAACTGCTTCCTGCAAGACTTTGTTCGTTCCCCTCTGTTCCCCACCGTTCAAAGCTACATCCAGAGGCTCACCTTGCGATGGGGAATAGCCGACCTCGACCCATACATTGGCGCAGATCTTCCCGGGTACCTGCCCCTTTTCCCTGCCCTCCGCTCTCTCAAGCTCAGAGGCCTGCTGGGACGACGCATTCCTGCACCCCCACTGCAACACCCTCCCGTTCTCGATTCGCTATGCATCGAAGGCTGGGTGTGCCATGCCCGCTCGCACGATCCGCGGGTCCTCTTCGACGTCCTGTCCTGCTTCGACTCGATCGGAGAGCTGCAGCTCGAAGACCTCTGTCAATGGCTCCCCGCCGACGGGCTCGAGCTCGGAGAAAACGAACACCCACGCGTGTCCTCGCTTGTGCTGCGCGACTCCACGTGCCAGCATCCGGTATGCGACATCCTCGAGTCCGCCATCGCCCACGAGAAGCCCCTCCGGCGGCTCGACCTGCGCGCGCTCAGCAGCACGGACGCGCGAGGCGGCGTCGACCTCCTCGAGTCCTTCTCGCGCACGATCGAAGACTTTCAGTGCGCGATCTCCTCTACAGGTGACACCGGTCAGCGCCATTCTGCTCTACTCTGCTCTGCCTGCCACAATTCTCACTTTCTTCTTCTTCTTGGTTCTTTCTTTCCTAGTGTCCTCGCAGGCAGACGCGTCGCCCCCCTTCGACTTCTCCCAGCTCCCGCTCCTCCGCACCCTCACCGTCGCCGTCGCGCTCCCCCTCTCGCGCACGCGCGCCCGCTCCGTCGGCGGCGGCGAAGACCTCGACAAGGCCGCGCCCTGGGATCGCGCCATCGCGTCGCTCGACACGCTCCGCGCGCGCGCACGCCCGTCCGGAGCACTGAAGCTCCTGCGCCTGCAGCTCGCGCCGGCGCGCGCGCTCGCGGACAAGGCGCAGACGGCGGCAAGCGTGCTCGAGGCACTCCGGCGGCACGACGCGTCGGTGCGCGCCCTCGAGCGCGCGCTGCTCGCGCTCGTCGAGGCGCGGTGCGTGCAGCTCGTCCAGATCGGCGTGTACACTGCGCCGCCTGCGAGTGGCCTCCGCGGGGCGTGCCAGCATCGGTGCGACGAGTTTGTGCTGGGGCTCTTCCCGAAGCTGCGCCAGGCAGGTGTCCTGCGTGCGTAGAGGCGGCGCTTGGTTGGGATTGGGATTGGATCGGGTCTGTCGCTTCCAGCGTCGTGCTGCTACCACTAGAGCATAGATGTAAGCTGTGCGCACCTTCTCGTGTACAGCAACTGGCCACGTCTGTGCGCCTCATATATTACTAGACTTGATCTTCATACAAGTGAGAGCTCGCGGGTTCGCAGGCCGGGAGCAGTGCTTGGAGGTTGCATCGTCATGCTATAGATCAATACCAGGGAATAAAGAAATAATGTCGTTGACTGAGAGACACGACCGTACATCGTAATTGTTCAGTCAATAACGCACTAGCAAACTAACGAATCGTGTCAGTGAACGTTGGGACAACAAACAACAAAGAGGTCAGAGATAAAAGAGAACAGTATTCTGCTCCCAAAGCCGGACGTAAATCAAGCTGCTCCCGGAGGGCGACAACGCCGCGCGAGCACGACTTCGTCAAGCGCCTCCAAAGCGTCATATGGCCCCGGCAAACTGTCATCACTGAACAACAGTGAGCAAACACAACCCACCTATTCCGCCCTCGTATTGACGTCACTCCTCGTCGTCGTCTGTGAGTTCCTCGCCATGCATAACTCCCGGATGACGTTCGAGACCGGGTCGCCGGGCCCAGGACCTGCCGTCGGTGTATGGCTCGAGACGAAGTGGGATTATGAGCGTGTATAATGGGCTAGAAACGAAGCTCAGCACTGTGGCCAAACAGGAGTGCGCGTGACGTACTATCCATTCGGTCCAACATTGAAGTACAGCTCCAGATTCTTGCGCTTGCTGGCTACAGCGTGAGTAGTCAATACGTCTGGGTGTCGTGATCGAACCTACCCCAGGTCGTAAGAGTTGATGAAGACCTGTGGGGCGCATTCGTCAACAATTTTCGCACAGGCTGGGCCAAAACTTGACGCACTTCGCCGCGGGAACGGGCTACCTTCCGGTAGTGCTCATTGTCCTGGTTTTCGACCGACGTCTCGGCGTTCGCGATGCCCCAGAGGTGGAAGCCGCCCATGACGGTCACGGCAAAAAATATGACCACGGAAAGGAGATATTCAAGCAGAAAAGCGACCTCGGGGGAATAATGATTCCAAGAGTCCTGAAAAACCTGTGAGGGAACATCTATCTTCGCAAATGATAAACTCACGTTGTACCATCCTAATGCCCGCCACGCGTGCTCCCACCCAAGCACAGAGTAGCACAAGGTCGATATGGTCAGATATATGCTGCGCGAGTGTCAGCGTCCGACTATCGAGTCCAGGAAGCGATAGTAGCGCATACAGAAAGAGCACAAAATGGCGTTCGTTATGCAAACCGACGCATTGATTTATCCCTGTGGCAAATAAGGGCTCCACGATCTTCTTGAAAAGCGTCTGAACACTTACACTGCGCTCATCAATTTGGCGTCGCATCACAGAGTCGGACAGGCGGACGTACAGGACAGTGGTGGTCGTATTTCAGCACGCATCGCTTGCAGATCCTGCAGTGGTGTGCTCTCTATGGGCGCCGGTAAGACACGTCACAGAACATCTCTACACTGCAGAGAACACGTACGTACCTCTGGCCTCATCTCTCCGCACCTCTTGCATCTTGTTATCGACGCCTTTGTCAAGTTAAGCTCCTCCGACCAGCGCACGCCCGTCATCTGTCGACCCCTCATGGGTGTCCGCGGCTGAGCCCAGAGCCAGCCTGAGCCGTGATGGGGCGGAGGGTCCGTGACGAAGCCCGGAAGGACGGTGCATACGTAGTAATAGTGCGTGAACAGGTTCAAGACGACGAGCAGACAGAGCGGCGCCGTAAGCCATGGCCAGCGCAAGGACGGGAGAATGACCTCGACTGGCGCGGGCATAGCATGAGCCGGTACGAATAGTAGTGAGAGTGCGAGATGCTACTCACAGAAGCATGCCGCGCCAACGGAGAGCAGGACCACTGCCAGAGCGACAAACACAGGTCCCGCCGCCCCAGTCAACCTGTCGCCGGCACGCTCGATCCATTTGAAGCAACGAAAGACTTGCTTGGCACAGATCATAGTTTTTTTGGCGTCGTTCTGGCAGTGTGTGCTGTACGCAGTCGCCGCTGTCCGAGGGCGCCGTGAGGTCTAACGAGGGCACAAGCGAAGAGTCCTTCGAGCTGGCAGATGAATTGTGCTCGACGGAGACGGAGGAAAGCAGCAAGGCTGGGGTGTAGTCTCGCTGTCAGAGTAGAATATCAAGAGTGTCAGCACCATGGCGGTGCGCAGTGCAGCACACAAGATCGGCGTCAACGCCGAGAAGCGGCAACACCCTCCAAGCTCTTCTGGACAAGGCAGATGTCTCTCTTCGCCCACATCGTACGTTCAACACAACTACCAACGCGTAATTTTCCTCATCACACACGACTACAGAGAGCGCACGCGGAAGCCGTGCACCGGGCGAGTACATTACAATTAATCGATCTCCAGGTATGCAGCAGACAGATCAAGGTTATGGCAAATGAACGTATAAAAGACCGATACATGAGATATAAGCAATGGCAATGACGTACGCAACCGGACAGACAGGTATCGTTAGGAGACGGCGTTGATGTCGTAAATGTATCGCATAGGATGTGGCATGACAGTGTCGAATGTGTGGAAAATGCTATCTTCCCTTGCCCGGCGTTGCCGCACGACGCGGTGTCCCTGGAGGCTTGCGAGGCGTAGGTGGTGGCACGCCTGTCAGCCTACGCTCCGTCATGCCATTTGACGAGTCTTGCACGCGCTGTAGCTCCCTAGCGGCGCGCCGCGCTGCATCACCGACCTGCGTTTGCGGACGCTCAGCGTCCACCCGCGACATGGCTCGGAGCAGCGCCTGGGGATCTGTAGTCGACGGTGGGCGAGAGGACGTCGGAGGAAGGTAAGAAGAGAGCGCAGGAGATGTCGATGCGAAGGACAGCGTGCCAGGGTGTATTCGCGACGAGAGAGCGATACTGAGTAACGAAAAGCGCTGGTTGAGATCTGCTTCTGCTAGCCGTGTACTCTCCAGCGCAGAATGAGCCAAAGTGCGCACCCAGTCGGCCTGAATCTACAGTGAATAACGAGATATTGGACAACAGGTACATCACGCACCGTCTCCTGCAGATCTTCCATCCGCTTCCTCAGAGGGCTCTGCGCATCCACCGCTGCGTCTACGAGACTCCTAGCCACAATAAGGCCATCTCGTCCACGGAAATGCTCCGGCAGATCTTTCTCGCCGATGTCCCATAGCGCGACGTCTGCGGCCGTAGCTGGTCTCTTGCCTTTGGCTTTCGCAGAAGGAAGTTCCTTCTTGCGATCGTCCAGTTCGGCAAGGACGGAGGTCCGAAAGGAATTATAAGATGCGCCGACCTCAACCCAGGCCTCATCTTCCTGTTTGAGCCTTTGTGGCCGCAATTCATTTACACGGACATAACACCAAAGGTAAATCGGGACTTACCTCTGTATATGCGCATTAAACCTCACCTCCCGCTCTTTATTTCGCCCGTTCTGCTCGTTCGGCTTCAACTGCTTAGGTTCGCCGTCTTCGCCCGGTTGATTATACACGTTGGTATCAATCTTTCTCTCCGCCAGCATCCTAACCATATCTTCTCCCACGCCTTTGAGTAACTGCAGGTCCTCCGATAGTGGGGGTGGGTCCTTGCCAGAATCTTTGGTATTTTGTCTTGACGAGGACGACGTCTGCGTGATCTGCTCCGCGAGTTCGTTCATTGCACGGTGTGAGCACCATATCAACAGCTGCGCCGCTCGTTGAGGCTCAGGCAGCTCAATATCGATATGTTTGTAGAAGCTCGAGTTCCGCACTGATGTATGTGGCTGGGCTAGATCTTGGTAAGCGGGTTGGATGAATGGAAAATACAGACGATCATAGCAGACGCACCAATAACCCCGGTACTCTCATATGTGGAGCTGATCCGTTTTCCTCGTGTCAACGAGCTCTTCCGCCGATGACCACTCTGCCCACGCAGGAGTTTGTTACGCTCCTGTTGAGGCGTGTCCTGCTGGGGAAGCGGCTGCGACATCTCCCGCATACGCCCGCGCGATTGAGACGGTTGTTTTGTTGATCTCGAGCTCGCCTCTGGAGCGGGAAATTGGAACTTTGGGTCCAATTTGGTAGTGGCAGCAGCGGCGAGGGACTTGCGCCGCAACATGTCCGTCTCTGACCGCATCTGCCGGACGGCCTCATCCTCGTCAGCCTCGACCACCACACCCAAGGCCTCCCGACCCTCTCCCTTGTTGCTACTCGATGTGACATTCGAATCAGCCCTAAACTTCTTTGAAGGACGAGCCAAATGTGCGCCATTGACATCGCCGTTAGGGGTCGTCCTGCTAGGCGGGGGAACTGACGAGTGCCGTTGTGGTTGCTGGGGTTCGGGTCGGGTTGGCGGGGTCTCCTGAGAATGTGGTGGATGCGCCGAGCTTGCGCGTACAATGACGAGCCCACCAGGCTTCTCTTCTCCTACGACTGACGGAGACATTCTTCAGTGTAAAACACGCGAGATGGTACGCGTCCAACACGTACGCTTGCGTTTGGCAGCCGCGGAAGACTGTGATGAAGACTGAGCCGTGAATCGTCAATTTCGCTAATTGCACAGAGTAGCTCGTACCTCCTTCCTCGCCTTCTTGATGACCTGATTTAAAGGATTTCCTCCGTCAGCCTCCTTGCGCTTGGATGTTGGAGGTCCAGAATGTGAGGGATGCATGATTACCGAGTCGCCAGGTAGTAGCTCCGTGGTGGTACTTGCTGCTCTTGAGTGCCCGTTCATTTAAGGGTGACATTCACGGCGGCGACGAGAAGTATAGCGACCAGCACGTCGAGGACGATGAGGAGACGCGTTCGGGCGTCGCGCGCGATGGCGGCGCAGACTCAAACGACGGGCGGACGGACTTTGAAAGCATTGTCTCACGGGTCAGGCTAGTAAACCCGGTCCCGTGATCTTAACCCTAACCCGACAAAGCGGCTGAAAGCCGGCGCGGCCCGGTATAATGGCTTCGCCGTCATTGGCCCGGAAAGAACCGGCGCTGTGGGCAAGCTATATTTTGCGAGGTTCGCGCTTTCTGGCCCTCACTCCTTCGTTTACAACCACCCGGCCCTCCTCGTCGTTCCAGACGTCTCCGTACTCTACACACCTCCTCTTTACGACACTAGACCTTAGATATGCCTTACTCTGCTGGTTTGTCGCGCTTCCTGTTTTTGAAGAAGTACGCGAACTCATCCTTCGTGACGTGTAGGTGACTCCGGAAAGGGAGCTGGACTCTTCAAGACCCGCTGCGCTCAGTGCCACACCCTTGCTGCTGGCGAGGCTCACAAGGTTGGCCCCAACCTCCACGGGTGTGTTGCCACCGCACTTAACTAGACGTGTCGTGAGGCTGACATTGTTCGCTTCTAGTCTCTTTGGCCGCAAGACTGGCCAGGCTGAGGGCTACTCATACACGTCAGCCAATGTCTCCAAGGGTGTTGTTTGGGAGGAGAACACTCTGTTCGAGTACCTCGAGAACCCCAAAAAGGTATGTCCCTCACGTTTACGCCCACAGCAGCGTACTGACCTGGCTTTCCAGTACATCCCCGGCACCAAAATGGCGTTCGCTGGTCTTAAGAAGGACAAGGATCGCAATGATCTTATCACCTACCTCAAGGAGGCGGTATGTATTTTCGTCTTCCCGTCTGTTCCGCGTCGTCTCATAAAATCCGCCTTAGACCGCGTAAATACCACTTCGGACTCTAGATTGTTTATTTGCATACACTATATTAATACCATTGGCGTAGTACTAGACACCCCCATTGTATATCCTCTGCATACATCCCCCATTCACGAGACCTTGTTCTGCGTGAGGACACAAAATACTACTCCACCCCGCACTATGTCATTCCGTGTTTCAATAAGGCAGGCATCGACCCCCGATCCTAACAGGATCAAACACGCCGGAGCTCACGTGATCTGGCCGACGCTTAGCCGCCTCTGGTCTCGACTCAACCTTTGTCTTCTGCCCATCACCGTCGTCCTCGGCTCGTTCCCTATATTCTTGGTCTGTCGTTGAGACTGCGCCGCCATGGACGATATTGCTGTTGAGGACGAGAAGCCGTTCGATGCTGAGAACGGCCCACACGACGAAGATGCACAGCCCGACCCGAATGAGAGCCTCATGATGGACGCAGGAAACGGCAGGGTGTGGCTCGTGAAGGTATAAGCACAGCCAAACTAAACACTCCTCTGTTTAACAAGGTGTAGATTCCGCGGCATCTCATGGAGCTCTGGTCCAGCATCGATGCAGAGAACGTCCACCTTGCCACCATCCGCGTGTACCACCAGATGAAGTGCGAGGCTACGGGCAAAAGCCCAAAGATTGTGCTCATCTTGCCGCCGTCTCCGGAGAACCCGAACGAGCCTGGCGACCAGTACGAGCTCGAGATAATCAATGAGGCCGTCGAGAACCAGTTCGTCATTGCGGAGCGCGAAAAGGAGCCTGGCACAGGCAGCCGTGCACGCACTACCATCTTGACCGGCCGTGTGAAGCACGAGTGCAATCTAAAGCCAATGCTTACGGACAAATACAGACAGCGGCTGAAGATGCGCAACTTGAAAGCTAACATGCCCGCTCGGACAATTAAGCGTATTGAGGACGAACACCCTGGAGATCGCGGGAGTATCAACCGGCTCACCAGTGGCGTCACGAACACCACCGGGTTCACAGACCTTGTCGTGCGTTGCTTCCCCCTGCTTTGCCATGTTTATTCTCATTTTCCTGCAGAAGCCGAAACCAAAACCGCCGAAAGGCCAATTCGAGCGCATGGCCCGCATGCCGCGCAACCAGCTACTCGATGCCTTGTTTATTGCGTTCCGTGAGCGCGAGCACTGGTCTGTCAAGCAGCTGCGTGAGCGCACGCAGCAGCCGGAGGCGTATCTTAAGGAGGTCCTCAGTGAGATTGCCTTCATGCACCGGAGTGGCGAGCATAACGGCACATGGGAGCTCATGGCGAACTTCAAAGGAGATGGAGTGAGTACCCTGTGCCCTTTCTTCTTTCATGTTTCTAATAGCCACCATAGATCAAAGGAGAAAATGTTCCTATCACAAATCTCAGCGCGGAGGGCTTCAAGATGGAGGACGACGAGGACGATGAGAGCGACGAGGACGATGAGGATATGGAGGAGGTTTCATGATAAATCTGCTTCAATTCGTACACGTACTCGCGGACTAATTTTGACTTACCATATACCCATGTGTACTATTATCGCTCAAACCTGTCGCATTATATTGAACGAATAAAATTCAGAGTTATCGCAGCTCATGGTCTACATGCGAGTTTCATCTAATATAGACGCTAGAAGGAACGCCTGCATTTGACTCTCACGTCCTCTCTCTTTCCACTACCACGACAGGCATGCAGAACCAGGTGAACGCTGCACGGGTCGATATTCTCATCCTTGGTGCTGGTTGGACGTCGACGTTCCTGATCCCACTCTGCGTTGAGCGCCAGGTCTCGTACACTGCGACCTCGCGCCCGTCGCATCCCAAGCCAGACACGGTCCCGTTCGAGTTCGACGAGCACGACGCGCACCCTGACCAGGGGCAGTTCGCTGTGCTGCCAGGCGCAAAGACGGTACTCGTCACCTTCCCTATCAACGCGCCAGGCGCATCGGCGCGGCTCGTGCGGCTGTACAAGGAGACGCACCCAAACGCGGAGCCGCACTTCATGCAGCTCGGGTCGTCGGGCATCTGGGATGTACGTCTGCCTCTCTCTTTGCGTCCAAGTGCGCGATGTTATTGAGAAGACAGGGAGGGCCAACTCTCCTAGGGAATAGGAAGGCCGGGTGGCTGGACAGGCACAGCCCGTACAGCGAGACAAACACGAGGGCGGCAGCCGAGGCTGAGCTGCTCGCGCTATCGCCGGAGACGCCCACAACGGTGCTGAACCTGTCGGGCCTGTTCGGCGGTCCCCGCGCAGTGAAGCATGTGGTGGGTCGCGTCGCGCCTACGAAGGAGGCCCTGAAGAGCAGTGTAAGCGTCTCGCAGCCTAAGCGTCTCGCAGCCTAACTCGTTGGGCGAACCGCTAAACGGCGCTTGGATTCCAGGGAAGCTTGCATATGATACATGGCATCGACGTCGCACGAGCGATCCTTGCAGTCCACGACAACTTTCGCTTGGCTACGGGTCAGCGTTGGATGCTGACGAATACTCGAGTGTACGACTGGTGGGATTTGGCGGCAACGTGGGGGACCGAGTTCTCGACGGAGAAGGAGAAGACGCAGCCCGATGGAGCTAGTGCAGAGAACAAGAGGGGACCACAGGCGCGGTGGGTAAGGGAGCTCATGAGGGAAGAAGGGGTAAGAGCACTGCCGAGGACTCCAGAGCAGATAGGACGAGCATTGGATAGCCGCGACTTCTGGGATACCTTCGAGCTAGAGCCTGTGATTGCGCAGCTCGACTGAGACGTAGAACTATTTTCCTCACCTACACGAGGCATCAAAAGCAAATCGAAAGGTCCGATACTCACACGATAAACGAGGGAAGCGTGCCATACCAAGAATAACTACGGCTATAGTACAGTAGTCCATAGGTGCTAACATATCTAACCTTGAATGTCGTCAGATATATTTATACTCGGTTGATTAGGTTGTAGAAGCCTACTCACTGCTGGTACTCCGAGCCGGTGCCTTCCCCTTCTTCAAATTCCTGCCTGGCTGTCGCTCGTACGCATTAAGCTCGAGGTCATGCTCATGTACAGCATGGACCGTGGTGCTACCGCCGTCTCGAGTAGCAGTCCCTTCCCCACCCACTCTAGAATCTGCCCCATCGCGCGGTTGAGAGCGGCGAGAACATGCTCGACGATTATCACACGATGAATCAGAGTCGGAGTCGGATGATTCTTCTGATGAGGATTCGTCAAATCGCTTGGGCTTGTGGTAGATACAGCAGACTATGAAGCCATGTTCAGCTCAATAGAGGACAACAGTATGGGGGCGCGCGACTTACTCTTCGATGACTTCTTACCCATATGCTCATTGTCGACAACGTCTTCCCGCCAGATGACTGATGGCCTGCTCCTGCGCCGTTCTCTGGGCCCGCCCCGCAAGCGGAGGGTGCCGACCTCCGGCTCATCTCCAGAGTTCGCGCCTTCCTCTTCGCGAGGCTGCGAGTCTTGGATAGTTATCGTACGTGAACCATCAGAAGGCGCAGAGGTAGATGAACTGGGTGGTAGCATCGACATGATGAAGGACTTAGAGGTGCAGAAAGTTATGAAACGGGTTTATAGAGGTGAGGGTATGAAGCAAGGAGAATGCGGCGAGGCGAGCCTTTAGACACTTCCGCTCCATGCGGGCGCCTATTTGGAGTGGCCGAGACGCTCGTGCAGCGACGGCCCTGGTTTCCACGTCGATACGTATTACCGGCATGTTCTACACAGCGAATACGGCACTGAATTACAACCTTTTGCCAAGGGTGTCATTGAAAGTTTCGTAACGCTGGGCAAGCAATGTCCCCCGTAACTTGTTGTAAGCTTGCAGAGGATAAAACACTGAGGTAGTCCCCTGCGATCCGATTTCCAGTGACACAGTTCCAGATTCCCTGAGAACAGCCGCAAGCTCCGATATCCAGCACTCGGAACACATACATCGTACGGTACGCTGTATGCTATACAATACATCCCACGATTTTTCACCTTTTGTACCTTCGCAGTGCCGGTTGAAGCTGTAGTGCAACGCTGGGTAATCGCCTTCTGGCGAGTTTGGACAGTTTTTCCAGGCCAGTCGTCATGCCTAAGCAGCCTAATTTGCACTGTTTAAAGTGCCTTTGAGACCCTGCAATTATACTCTGCACGGCAAGGCGACGTGCTTTCGGAAATGCACTGACATAAACAGAGGGACGTCTTTTAGGACTAGTTCTCGATGCATAAGTGAGTCTTGCCTCCTTCTGCGGCCTAGTAGCTCATCTGGCTATAGTGGTTGTCATACTCGGGGTCCCGAACCCGAACGACTGCTTAACTGTGGTATTGCGATCACCGGCGAACGCGCAGGTAAGCGCCGTTACCGATGTTACCTCCGATGAAGATTTTTCATGCCCTTGTGAGAGCTTATGTTCCCTCGAAATCAGGTACCATTTATCGCTATTGAAATATACTCTACGCTGCAATGATCATCAGCGACTTCACGAAAAACACGAATATCCTTCTTTTTCATCCCCCTTCTCGCTCATTCCACGGCACGCCGCCTCATGTATAGGTAAGTGCATTGGCTGTCTCCGAAAGACTTACTATGTGATGTGACGCAAGAAATGCCACGGCCTTGTTCTTCCGAACCAGACGGGTGCCGACGGCCGGACGTAGCTCCGTCGAACATCGGTGCCTAGTTTTGTCGGCTGGAGATACCTGCGTTTGTCGGGAGATGGAGTTATGTGCGGTCAAAGGTGTGCGTCGTTCAGCGACATAAAATACTCTTCAGCCTGCTCTCTGCTCTTCCATAATTGCAGTATTTTGCTTCCGCCCATTACACGGTGCTTGCAACAACAGCTTATACTCTTTTACCTCGACATATGTCTTTTAACATTCTCTTAGGTAGCGGTGGTCAGCAAGGGTATAATCCACTTTATCACATCTGGTGTCTTCATAGCTAACCAACGATCGGACAACAGGGCAGTTTCATTCGAGATGCAGGAAACGGCAACTACACCCGTGTTCAGCCGAGCTGTTGTCGCGGTCCCGTTGCCTCACAAGCGTATCAAGTCCATCAGACCTGGCGAGCACCGCTGTCTCTACTAAGTGACTGGTCCTGACACATCTAAACAGAATTCGAATTCGGCGAGCATGGTTACATTGGGGACGCCATTACACTTACATTTGCTAACGGCACCAAGACCCCGGCTGGGCTACACGCTTTTCGCCTCCAAAACGGGTTGCAAGTGACTTACGGTTAGATTAACGGACTTGCAGGCGATTTCTACGCCACGAAGGACCCGATCTGCATGGGAGATACCCTCGAGGAGCAAATCAAGCGGTTCGGGGACGCCTACATTTCGCTAGCAACGGACACGAAACGACAGCCGAAAGAAGCGCAGGACATTCTCGCTATCCTGCAGGTTGAGTTCGAGGCTGTTAACGAAGCAGTGCGCCTTCGCAGAGACCCCTCCATTGTGCACCACGTCATTCCGGATCCCAGCTTCCAGCTGGCGAGAATCATGGCCACGCGCAGCGCCAACCCGGGCTATCTTGGTATCTCCAAGATCAACTTTGACCATTTCGGTCAGGATGCGCGCACAGCGTACAACGCCGGCCACACTTATGCTTTGATGGCAGCGGCGGCAGGCAACCTGATGGGGGCGTACACCTTGAACGCCTTCGCGGATCACTTTCTCGAGGATCTGTTTTCTGCCGGGCACCTTCGCACCCCACGCCGGATGCTGCATGCGGATTATGACATTGCCCCCGATTACTGTGCCAAGGCATGTACCCGTCCGTTGCTGGCTCTTATGGTGTATATCTGACGTCCACCGCCGCAGTCTATGCAGGATGAGGACTGCGCCATTGGCCTACAAGTCAGCAACCCAGCGGCGAAACCTGGACCGCGTACGGTGACAAGCGAGCGCTGGACGCGGTGAACAAAGAGAACCTGGAGCGGTGCCTAGCCGCGGTGCAAGCGTCGGCGGACGAGATCTATGCTGCCTATTTGACCAGGCAAGTGCCGAATCCGGTCGACTTCCGGGCATGGAACCATGCCCCGACGCTCGAGTCTGCAAGAGGCGACCAGGAGCTTGCAGCGCTGTTCAGAGACCCCAAGTCTCCGGCGGCTCGACATCGAGAACCGAAGGCAAGCCCAGTTCACGAGTGACTGGTGGTTCGATACTACTGCGGTTTCGATCAAGTCTAGCTCGTGGTGGGGTTACCCAATGTCGCTCGACGGACCGCGCAAGATCATTCCTTGGACTGGCATCTCTGCGTGTAATACCGGAGGTCTGCAGAATACCATGGTGTTCTATCAGGATTCTGCTGGCGGCATTCATCAGAGCAGGTTCGTCGACGGAGTGTGGTACGGAGGACCTACTGCGCCGGCACTGCTGACGGCCGCCTCCTTTTCTGCACTGGCCTCCGTCAGTTGGGATGGTGGTAATGGGGTGAGTGCAGTAGCCTCTACGCATTTACAGAAGCATCGCTCATTTATGAGCCGAGCAGGCTTCCCTCTTCTGGGTGGAACCTGGAACCTATGTTGTTCACGAGCGGAGGTATGCGTCCGGTCAGTGGACTGCTGGTCCCCTCGGGTCTCTAGACGTCAAAGTAGACTGGTACGCATCAATGGCAGCCGTCTCGTGGGCTACTGGTGGAACGAGGTTCGTGCGCTTGTACCTACAAGGTTGGCTCCTTCTTCAGCATCATCTTTTCTCTCTGTGTCCTGACAAGAGTAGAACGCGGTGCTGCTATGATACAGGAGCTTGCATTTGATACCACGCGGGGCTGGAGCCGTGCTTCTCAGTTCCAGAACGTCATGAGAGGAACCGGTCTGGCTGCGGCTGCATTTCTTAACGCTGACGGAACCGCGCTTAGCCAGATTCATGTCTTCCATCAGACACCAGAAGCAACCATTCGTGACTGTTACTGGGACTACAACACTTCCATATGGTCTATGAGTATGTTTTTTTGGCTTTCTGTGAGATGTCGAGCGTGCTCTAAGCATCATCTCTAGACCCCCTTGTGCAAATTATGGACGCTGCCCCAGCTACTTGCATCTCCGCCGCCACCTGGCCCGGCGGCGGTAGCAACATTACAACCATATTCTACTCTGATACCCAGGACACCCTTTGTCAGAGGGTCTCGGGTGATTGGAACTCGACCCGGAAAATTGTGGCCCCACCTCTTTTGAGTACCATGGTCGCTGCCGTCCAGGCGAACAACGACCAATCTCTGCGTTTGTATTGCCAGACACCGGACTACTCTGTGCTTCAGTTAGCCCAAGACAGCGGCGGCCAATGGGTTAGATCTGTTCTTGCCCTCTCTTGATGAGCACAGTACGTCTCGCGATGATGGCAAGCGTCTATTCGGCCACTGATAATGTAACAGCTGCGCGCATGCGCTCGTCGCCTTCGTAGGTTGGTATGGGTTTCGGGTTTCCTCTTCTCTTATGTATTTTTCTTGCATGATGCACCGGTGCTTTCTGTCTCCAACTCTTCATTCCCCGGCGACAATTGTGCTACCCGTACCGTTTCCTTTTTGCATCGTCCTTCTCGCCAGCAGGAAATGAGACATGTCTATGCATACCGTTTGCCCCTCTATCTATCTCCTCACGGACTGTTACATCAAGGACCCACTTGTCAGCGGATTCGTACAAGTGTATCTCTACCTTCGCTGTACAAAGCGCTACTAGCACGAGCTCAGGTTCGGCGGACGGGCTCTCGAACAAGAACGCTACTCCTACACTTATGACGAAGGGCAAGTGTCAAAGGAAGAGGTTCTCTCATGAGCTGAGTATCTTGAAACTTTCTCTGGAATTCCGTTTGTCATCTATGCAGCCCCATCCTTCACCCGGACCTACCCATTAGCGTTAATTGCTAATGCCATCACCTCATCTTTATGACCATCTACATCCGTTCGCACTTATTCTCTCCACTCTTTGCCGCATCTAGCACGGGTATACACATAAATAATCACGGGCCATCTAGGCTGAGGTTGAGTAATACGCAACAATATGTATATTTCAACCTCTTTCGCTTTCATCACGGCATGTTTTGCCCTGCATCCGCTTTGCTTGCGCTCCATTGAGCCTATTCTTGCCTAACCGCTCACTGTTTGGTCTCTACACGTGCAGCATACCCCCGTTCGTAGTGAATATACGTCCGATTTTCTTCGGTCGCCGAACTGAGATGCCACTGGCACAGCATCCAGCGCTATTTACGGTGCTTAATAAATGGGGCCACAATTTGCGATTTTTGCACTAATATTTGTTTCGTACAGACGCTCCCTTATGTGGTGCGTGTGACTCACATCAGGTCGGACGGCGCGACAGACACGCACCATGCCAGAGCTCGGGTGCGCGGGCCAGCGAGCTTTTTGAGTTCATAAGATCTGGCTATGTTGTGTGGCATTTATGGCGTAACACTAGATCGACGAATGTTCGCGTCTGTCGCGCTAGGCCGGCCGCCGGAGTCGGTAACTAATGTGACGGTCACGCATGCCACATAGAGAAAAGTTTGTACCAAACGGATATTGATGCAAAAGTGTGTAGATCCATCAGCGGGCCGCAACTCCGATACGCGGTGGCGGGGTTGCTGGGCGCATCATCGGGACGGCCGTGAGGGCTTGACATCACCATAGGCGATGCTCTGCGGCGAGTCTTAACCGTATTCCAGATATTCTTCGCCCTTCCGAGGGCCAAGACCTCGTAATGAGCTAGAGCGGCCGATGCTCTGAATGACTCTTGTATATGCTCGGATGGTCTCGTGAACGCGCGATGGGCCGGACTGCGATGGAACGTCGGAGATACACAATGTAAGTAGTCAATATGATCACTGGGATTGATGCTGTATGATGTGGTCGCGCTTCTATGGGCTCCTATGGCCGTGGACCGCTTGCCCCACCGGAGTCGGCTCGCGCACAGTGCTCTGTCAGGACATCAATGCCCGCGCTGAGATTACGGCCGTTGATGCCGACCATGAAACTTCTCCGCCACATCTACGCGTATTCCGCGCACGGCCTAGTACAGGCTCGTGATCAACCCGGCGGGTGTCTGGCCTAAGGTGCCCACCCTGGCTCTCCATATAAGATGCCCAGCTCGAGCGAGAGGAAAAGGCATCCTCAACATTTGCTTGAGATTTCTTCGTATACTCCACTTCGTCAAGTCTTCAATCGTCAGCACCCACTCTAACATCATCATAATGAAGTTCTTCACTGCCGTTACTACTCTTCTCTTCGCTGCTTCTGCTGCCCTCGCGGCGCCCTCCACTACCACCACTGTCACCGTCTCCTACGACCAGACGTACGACAATGCCGGCGGTTCTTTGGACACCGTTGCGTGCTCCGATGGCCCCAATGGGTTGCTCACCAAGGGTTAGTGATCCTCATTCTGCTTCGCCCGAATAAGTTCTGACCTCCGCTATCCTTTCTCTAGGCTACGGACCTGACTTCGGCAACCTCCCGAACTTCCCGAACATCGGCGGCGCGGCTGCCATCGCGGGCTATGACGACGCCAACTGCGGCACCTGCTGGCAGCTCACCTACAATGGTGTCTCCATCAATGTGCTCGCCATCGACCACGCCCAGTCGGGCTTCAACATTGCGCTCGGTGCGATGAACACCCTCACGGACGGTAACGCTGTCTTCTTGGGACGCATCAATGCCCAGGTCCAGCAGGTCGATGACAGCGCGTGCGGCCTCTAAAGACCACAGGTGAGTGCGCTTGGAGGAACTCCGCTTGAGGATGGTTTCGCTTACCTGCAGCGCGCTTTGCAGAGGACTTGATGGTGACGGTTACCTGGGCATTCATGAACCTAATGAAACGATGTATTCGGACTTCATTCTACGGACTTGACAGGCTGTACACCGATCGCATACGGACTCTGCTGTTGTAGTACCTTGAGTACGGACTCTACGTTGTAATTAGCTGTTGTTAACAAGAGTGAGGAGAGTTGAAGGCTGGAGAGTAAACTTGTGTGTCACTGACCATGGGTATTCGAGACGTACGAGCAACCTCCCATCAAGTGCGCCATACGCCATGCATATATATGGCGGCAATAGAGCCGGCATGAGAGTACTTGCTAAAATACTCCCCAAACTTGCGTTAGTTGACCACTGAAGCAGGTCAGCACGGACTCTGCAGGCCGCTTCCGCCCACGAGTGTTGCGGAAGAAAGTCAGATGTAGCTCACCATCCGTAAGAGAGTCGGCTACTGGCTTACAAACAAGTTCAAAATAGTAGATACCCTGGAACTTACAGGCTCTATTTACATTTACTTACTGTAGCTTAAATATTAGACGCCTATGTAAGATATAGGAGCTTACACCCCTACTTACGTTCTTGAGCGATATTTACTAGCACCGGCAAGCCACACCGGCCAACAATTCCTTTCGCAGCACACTCCTCGCTTCGAAAGTCTTCGCCACCGACCCCCTCTAGCAACTCGCACCGCACCTATCGTCCAAGGGTCGCGCTTTCCTCTACTCTTGAACCTTTAAGACTTGATTCCATTGCTCACAGGAAAGTTTGGCGCAACCGCCGCTGTGACGGTACTGTGCAGTGAGCATTCGGGGGTGAAATAGTGGGCGACAGATGCTGCCGCTATCTCCATTGATGCTTTCCATAAGCCTGAATTGCAATACATGGTGGAGCAAAGGAGATGAGTTTCGAGTTGCATTCGCTCTAGCAAATCAGGCTTGGACCGGCGTCTGCCATCCGTCCACCGAGTTCAACGTCCCACTCGGGATCGGGACTCCTAACTGTGCCCTGTAGGATCACACGGTATGGAAAGGATGGTCGATATCACCGGTGCAATTTTCTCATTTCTTGACAGACCCGGCTGGATCTAATAAATTTGTTCGCGCTCAATTGAAGGCTTGCGACACGCCAGGGCCACATTAGGTAGTGCGTTGCACACCATTTGGAGGGAATTAACACGGCATGAAATGCCACGACCACGCCATTGGCTAGGTGGACGCCGACGACCGGACGTACCTTCCGCCAAGATATCGGTACCTGGCTTTGTTTGCTGGAGATATCTGCGCTCATCGGAGGAGAGTGTTACATGCGGTCAAGGGCGCGTGTTGCTCTACAGCATATAATGTTCCCCGGCCTGCTCTCAGCTAGTCCAGAATCACAGCGCGTTCTCGCTGCCTACCGATTTATTGTCCACCTCAACACTTCATATTCTACTACCCTTAGGCATGTCCTTTGATACCACCGTCGTTAGTAGCGGTCCGCAAGATACGGTAACCACGCCTATATTCGGTCGGACCCTTGCTACGGTTCCGCTGCCCCGCAAGCATGCCGAGACTTTCAAACCTGGTGAGCACGGCTTAAGCCGTACCCTAACACGGTGATAGACTCTGAAGCATCCCTGACAGAGTTCGAGTTTGGCGAGCACGGCTACATCGGTGACGCCATTACCCTCACTCTTGCCGTGGTTCCTCGACGCTTGCTGGAGACTACCGCTTCCACCTCCCGAACGCATTGCAGGTGACATACGGGCAGATTAATGGGCTCGCAGGCGACTTCTATGCCACGTACAACCCGATTTGTATGGGAAATACATTTGAGGACCAAATCAAACGGTTTCAGGACGCCTATGCAACTCTGGCGATGGACATAAAGCGGCAGCCGGACGAGGCGCAAGCCATTCTCGCTGTCTTGCAGACCGAAGTCGACGTCGTAAACGAAGCTGTGCGCGTCCACAGGGACCCCTCCATCGTGCACCACATCATTCCGGACGCGACGGCTACATTTGAGCGAATTACGTATACGCGCTGGGGGAACCCGGGCTACCTCGGCATCTCAGCGATCAACTTTGACCACTTCGGAGAGGACGCGTGCACGGCGTACAACGCCGGCCATACTTACGCACTGAGGCTAGCATCGGCGGGCAAATTGCTAAAGGCATATGCGGCAAACGCCTTTGCGGACCACTTCCTTGAGGACCTGTTCTCCGCCGGGCATCTTCGTTCCCCACGTCGGATGCTGCATACGCGCGGGGGGTGGAATCCCACTGCAGATTTTGCCAGGCACGTTTTAGTCCGTTCGCTGTCTTATAGCATGCAGCTAACCTTTGTTGCCGTCTAGTCCATGCACGACGAGGACTGTGCCATCGGCCTGTCGGTCAGCAACCCGGGACGCGAGCAGTGAACTGCGTACGACGACAAGCGAGCCCTCGACAGGGTGAACGCCAAGAACCTGCGGCGCTGCCAGGATGCCGTGCAGGCGTCGGCATCTGAGATCTACACTGCCTCCAGGACACATGAGGTGCCGATCCCGCGCGACTTCCTCGCGTGGAACCACGCCCCGACGCTCGAATCTGCAAGAGGCGATCAAGACCTTGTGGCGCTGTTTAGGACCCCTAACCTCCGGCGGACCGACGTCGAGAATCGGGTGCAGACAGCATACACAGACAACTGGTGGTTCGGGTCGACGTCGAGCGTGCTCAAGGTCAGCTCGTGGTGGAGCTATCCGATGTCGCTCGACGGCCCGCGCAAGGTTATCCCCTGGACCGGCCTCGCCGCATGTAACACGGGAGCTCTGCAGAACACGATGGTGTTCTACCAGGATCCTGCTGGCGGCATTCGCCTGAGCAAGAATGTCAACGGGGCCTGGACTGGGGGTACTACTGCACCGGCGCTGGTAGCTGGCCAGTGGACGGCTGGAACGCTCGACAGGTTCGGTATCAAGACGAAGTGGTTCAGCTCTATGGCAGCCTCGACATGGGCGATTGGCGACACCAGGTACATCCGTCTGTAGGTGCAAGGTGGGCTCTGCATCGATCCGCGTTCCGCTGTCATCATGTCTCACAAGCTAAACAGTCGACGACCCGACGGGAACAATACGGGAGCTGAAGTACGACAGCAGCAGCCTCGAGGGCTGGCGTCTAGGCGCGACGTTGGAGGGTGCTAGGATAGGCACCGGCCTGGCCGCCGCCGTGTCTCTGACTGCCGACCGCGCGGCGCTCAGCAAGATCCACGTCTTCCACCAGACAACAGACGGTGTAATCCGGGACTGCGTCTGGGACCAGAACGCTGGCACGTGGTCTCGCGGTTCGTGTCTTCGCTCCTCTCCCGGGCCGCACTCTGAACTTCGGTTGTAGATCCTGCCGTGCAGATTACGGATGGCGCCCCAGCAACCCTCATCTCCGCTGTCTCCTGGCAGATTCCTGGCGGCGACGCCATGGGGATCTTCTACTCTGGGAATGTTTTGAACCAGGTTTTCCAGAGGACCTCGATTGATCGTTGGGGGGCAGCACAGATGATTGGGACCCTGCGGCGTCTGGGTACTGCTGTCGCTGCCGTTCAGGTGGACAATGGCAGGACGTTCCGGGCGTACGGTCAGACTGCAGATAATGGCATTTTTGAGGTCAGCCAAAGTAATGTTGGACCTGGGTGGAACAACGCTGTCATTGCGGCTGCGTGAGGGATTGGATGAACCGCACAACGAACATTAGCCATCATTACTTCCACTCGCTGTTCCGTATCCGCTAACGTCCGCCTGCCTCCCATTTTGAGTATGCACCAGTTCACTAACTTTACTGTACATCATGCTCTTGTATCCTCTTTTTCTCCACCGTATAGTATACTATTCACTTTGCTTCCCTACGATTCTCTACTCTCTAGTTTCAAAATCATAAAAAGCATCAAATCTACTTATAACGTATCGTCCACATTTACACGACGCAGAACAGCCAAAAGAAAAAAGAAAGAAAGAAAAAACCAGAACCAAGCACCCTGGCCGTGTCTACACCCGCAGCACGCCCGCCTGGCGCAACCTCGGGAAGAGCCCCAACACAAAATCGTCACAGCGATGCCGACACGCCCCATGAAGCCCGCTTGCCGGCGGTGCCGCGTACACGCTCACCTGCACGAGCTGCACGCCCCGCGCATCCACGAGCGCCTGCAGCGCGTCCTCAAGCGCGCGCATAGACGCGGCGTGCCGCCGGAGCGCCTCGAGCACGGCCGCGGCGGTCTGCGCCTTGTCCTCGAGCGCGCGCGCCGGCGCGAGCTGCAGGTGCAGGAGCTTCAGCGGAGACGCGCGGGCGCGGGCGTGGAGGGTGTGCAGGGACGCGACGAGGGGGGTCCAGGGCGAGGACGTGTCGAGGGCTTCGCCGCCCGCGAGGGAGCGCGCGCGGCGGGTGCGTGACAGCGGGACTTCGATGGCGATGGTGAGGGTGCGGAGGAGCGGCAGCTGGGAGAAGTCGAACGCTGGGGAGAGTGGTGTGGTGCCCTGCGACAATACTAGGAACGGGTCGTACTAGTGGTGAGAACATCGTATGGGAAACGAGAGGACGGCGCTGACTGACCGGTTGCACCTGCAGAGGAGATCGTGCACTTGAAGTCTTCGATGGTGCGCGCGAAGGATTCCAGGAGATTGAAGCTGCCTCCTGCATCCGTGTTACTCAACGCACGAACATCGAGCCGCCGCAGAGGCTTCTCGTAAGCGTCCGCGGACTCGAGGATGCCGCACACTGGCTGTGGACAAGTGGAGTCGCGCAGCACAAGCGAGGACACGCGCGGACGCTCGTCATCCACAAGCTTGGAGTCGCTTGCAGGGAGCCACTGGGAGAGATCCTCCAGGTGCAGCTCTCCGACAGAGTCGAAGCAGCACAAGAGATCGGAGAGAACCCTCGGATCGTGGGGCCGAGCATGACAGACCCAGCCTTCGATGGACAACGAGTCAAGAGAAGGAAAACCTTGCTTCTGCGACGCATATATACGCAGCGCCAGCAGGCCTCTAAGTTTGAGCGAACGGAGTGCGGGGAAGAAGGGAAGATATTTGGGAAGGTCCGCGCCGATGTATGGGTCGAGGTCGGCTATTCCCCATCGCAAGGTGAGCCCCTGGATGTACCGTTGGACTGTGGGGAATAGCGGAGAGCAGATGAAGTCTTGAAGAAAGCAGTTCTTGTGTATGCGCTGCTCGTACGGGTTCCCTGTCCTGGCGAAGAGCGACACGGAATGGAAGCGGTGCCGCAGGGTGAGGCTGTGCCAAGCCTTTGAAACGCGCGAGCACGAGAAGAGGGTTCTCTTGTCCGTTCGTCCTCGCTCGTCGTCGATGCGCGCGAAGTCGAATATGACATCGAAGACCTCGACAGGGACATGGTCGGTGATCCCTGCAGATTCAGCCACGGTGGATGTCATCTCTATCTCTACGGCAGGTCTTCGTCAACATGCAGAACAGACAATGCTAACTGCACACTCACATAAGCTGGTGAGGTTACTGGGCTGGGTACAGAGAGGACGCTTCGTTGGGGGACGTCCCCAACAAAGACGGACGCCCTTGATAATCGGCAATGCAACTTTGTGAAAACGAGCATGGGACTCGACAGCCGCTTATTTATGGTCGGGTGTCCTAGGAGAGAGACGGAGAGCACAGGAGCAGTGTGTCCGGGACGCTTGCATAGAAGTACCCAGTATGACGACGCTGAGACGACTCTGGAAAAGTCTGGAAGCGATATCGATGGCAACTGTATAGTGTGCGCAGCGGTCTTGTGAACGAAGACGTCGTGTTCGAGAGAGGCCGATGGGCTTGGACGTAATAAGGAGCATAATGAAAAGGCGAAACAGGGCTAACTCTGGGAATGATGAACAAGGGGAACACCCGCGTCCGCTGTCAGGTCACGAGCAGGACAGCGCGAGCCTTGGCAGGTTTGTGTGCCAAGTATGCGAGTCCTTGCGCTGCAGTAATCGACATAAAAGCCTGAAAATTATGTTAATACTAGAGTCGTAGTTGACACCGCTAGCGAGCTAGAAGATACAGCGGACAAGACGGAGGAGTCGTCCGGGGAAGAGCGATCACGATTCGGAGATTGCCAGCGCCGGCGTGTCGGTCTCAAGCGTTCCGCGGCACACGACCGAGCCAGGCCTAGATTATTCGTCCGACAAGCCAGAGTAACGCTCACTCTTTTATAATGAAGGACATTGTATTCATGATACCGAAGCATAATAACACAGTCACGATGGGCCCGAGAGTATCCGATTTCCGTGTCAGCAGCCAGCGAGAGCTCATTCTCGCCTGACCGAGCTCCATTCCCAATTTCTTTCTGACGCAGCCAGGAAGCGTGTATTTCTACGACGCACTGGACTTTTCCAAGTTTTTTCCACTCATCCAGCTCAGGCCTTGTCCCCTCTCGAAGCTCGATCTGGCTTCCTCACGACCCGCGTGGAAGCCTGGTGCAATGGCCATCTCAATGGTCGTCTTTCAGGCTGGAACTGCATTCCGCTACTACCGGGCTCGGTGAGAATATGCGCATGGAAAGAGTCTTGCCACCTTTTATCAGTAAATAGTAGCCCCGAAGTGCTCTCATGGACTGGCGCCGCGTCCTCTACGACCCCGTCCAGGAGCCAACTATGCTGCTGCAGAACCGCCGTGACTTGTTAAACCACAAGCAGCCCATGCCCTCCTATATCATTCGAAGCCATGCAAGACCATAAGCGTCATTTATGTGTACAGTAAGGGGCCGGTACTGGATTATGGTGCCATCAAGGGCAACGGTGGTAGCAATAGTGTATCTATCTGCGCCAGGACAGCCTGCACGCAACAACACAAAACGTTCTGTGCGTCAAGCTGATCTCTCGTAGAATGTTCTCGCATCTACATCTAGAATTAAGTAGCGCGAGAGACACACACGGGTCGTCAGCAAGCTTTGCTGTGTATATATCATCCGAGAAAACGCACCGAGGCAAGCTAGTTGTCCACCCGCGCTTATGGTTACTAAGCGAATATAAGTCAGTGTGGTCCTTAACGACTGCATTGATACCGGAGCCACTGACTGCACCGTTGTCGTTGTTTGAGCTGTTCCTACTAGCGTCGTTAGGTGGCCAGTGATCCACGTGAAATATCTCCCCAAGCTTCCTCCAAACTGCTTCTGTTCGATCGTCCAATGCAGCTTGCAGCACATGCTGGCAGAGGATACACAGCTTCTGCTTCGCATCCCTGTTCAAGAACGTGTTCCCAAGATCCAGAGGATTCACATCGGTCACCATGTTGCGATCGAAGCCATGGAGGATGATCGATTTGACTACCCTCTGACACTGGGTGCCAGGTGTGTGCGAATGAGCGTCACGCAGGGGGGCGGAAATCGATGAATGTCTTGACTATCTGTGCGCTCTCTTGGTAGAGCCGATGTCGAGCAGCTAGACAAAGTAGTATGTCGTCTTCAGTCAGACGGACAACCTCTTCATCATAGACGACACCGCGGACCAGGGCTTCTTGATCGTCCTGCCTACAACACTCGTACAGTGCTACCGGAAGTATTTCGTGCGCCCCAAGAAGCCTGCATAAGTGGACAACAGCGATTGAGTCGGGAAAACGAATGCATAACGAGTCGCATTTCGCCCCAGGGTCGCCATGGAATCGGACTTGGCGCCATTCTCTCAGGCTGTTAGACGGGTAATACAGCCTGAGCCGGTCTTTAGCCTCGTTCAGCACCTCTTGTACCTGATATTTCGCCGCAATGATAGTGACCAATCGTAGGTCGCGAAACTTGATGACCTCTCTTTTGCGACCGAACCAGCCACTGGAAGATAGATGTAACATCACAGCCAGAGTAAAAGAAGCACTGCGCACCTCTTGGCACCATCATAGACGATTTGCAGCAGCTGCGCGAGCACGTCTCCGTTGTCATCCGTCCGCAACACCGGGCAGCCATCCAGCCTCTCTTGTAGACTCGCGAGGGCAGGCGCGCTCAGGAGGTCCCTGAAGACTTTCGAATGGTGTGCGAGCACGCCGGAATGAAGCTTGAACGACTTCCCCTGGGCCGCGAGCACGACGTTTCCTTCGTCGAACCAGAGACTGGCATGGCGTTCGCCGACTACTGGCTGAGCCTCTTCTGGCGGAGGCGCTTCTTGGACGTGCTCCTCCACCTTTTGCCTCTTGTTCGGCGTGTTTCCGGTATCGCTGCGACCGCGGCTGCGCGTGGATATCGTCATCAGGGAGGAGAAAGGTCGCCGCAGGGAGGGAGAGCGCGAGCCAGCCGTGGAGCGCTTGTGGGTTCCTTATGTGAGCGCAATTACTACTGAAACGCGATGATAAGTGGAATTACCTAATAGCGCAGCCGCCCACCGGAACCCTCGAGCGCAAAGTCATGCTTCAAATGTACACGCGACCGCTACGACAAGACTCCAGGCATGCCAGCAAGCATTCGCAGCCATTCTCTTGCAGAGGAGACAGATACTCCCAACAAGAGGAGAAAGGTCGAGCCAGCTGAGGAATGCGTAGACGCGCTCCGAGCCGTGTCAGGGATTGGCGAGCGATCAAAGAACCTCTGGTTCGACGACGGCAATGTCATCATTTCTGCCGAGGGCAGGGCCTTCAAGGTGCACGCAAGTGTCCTGATGCTTCGTTCTGAAGTTCTTAAAGAGCTTCTGAACGGCCCGGCCCTCGCACGGCTTCCAGAGAGGCTGGAGGGCTGCCCTGTCCTGCGCGTGGAGGACAAAGGCCGCGACTTCGAATATCTGTTCACCATCATATACAATGGAGGAAACAGGCGAGCACTGATTTCATCCTTCGAGTATTCTTATAACAATGCTGGATGTAGTAGCTGGCTGAACAGCCAAAGGCCGCCGATTGCGTATGTCGAATTTCGCGCGGTCGTGACTGTCGCCGTGAAGTACAAGGTCAAGGAGATCATCGACGAGGCGATATACAGGCTCTCGCGAGTGTTTTCCACACGCAGTATAGACGATTGGAATCCCTATCTTAAACCTGACGGTGACAAGACACCTATCGCTCTCGATGAAAACGACTGCATCGACGTCCTCCGCGTCGCCCGCCTCTTAAATATGCGTTCAATACTTCCGCTGGTATTCTACGCATGCTGCAACATTGAAGATCGGCAAATAACTGCGGGGGTTTTCTACTACGAGGACAATTCAGACTTAGCCCGATTTAACGAAGACGACTTGCACACATACCTCAAGGGCCGCTGCACACTTATAAAAGAGTCAATGAAGGTCAAGAGAGCATTACAAGAGCTCGCGATTAGTATACGCGCTGCCCTTTGCCCCTCGAAATCACGATGTCGCTACGCACTCCAAAAGCTGTGTCTCGCCGCGCTGGACGCTGATTTCTATCACAAACCATCGGCGATCGATTCTGTGGATAGGTGGCTTGATGTTACCGAAGAGAAGCGGAACGCGAAACTTTGCCAGCACTGTGATGGAGTCCTCAGAAATCTCATCAACGAACGGCGGGAGGAGGCATGGCGCAAACTCGGGAAAATCTTTGGCATTGAAGAATGGCCAGCTGGGCAGTCGGTGAGCACATTCGTGTTTCCAACCATATCTAGAGCTGAACGGTTATGTGTCGAGCAGCAAGAAGGCGAAGATAATTATGCGACTGCCGCCGCATCCTAACGATCTCAAACTTAGATATCTGGAATGCCTCCCTACGCTTTTGTATGTTATGAATGCTACATGTTCGTTCAGTGGACGGTGAAAGCGCAACGAGAATAGCTACCAGACTCTTGAAGGGGAGAGCATCAGCCATATCTGCGGCTTGAAAGCTGCAAGCGAGACGACGTACCATCGTCTGGTGCTGACTGACAACGTTTTCTTGAGAGATCAATGATAGCTTACGTGGCAGGGCCTCTGGCTGAACCGTGCTATGGTGTTTTGAATATATATAAAATACAGACGAGTAGCGTCCATGTGTAAGAGAACAGCTCGGGAGACTTCTGTTTATTCACATGTCAGAGTGTACAGCTGATATTCATGTTCACCTTGAGCCTGTAATGGATGAATCTTGATGTACGCAAGTGAGTGGAACTGTTTCTGCATTCCAGGAGTCGTCGTTCAGCGATGAAATAGATACATTAGTCATTGAGAGCCATAGATTGGATGAGGCTAAGTGCAGCTGCAGACCGAGGCTTGAAAACCGCCTCGAACGGAAGAGGGTGCCTAGTCAGATATTTGCTAATAAGCCGCCAGGCATTCGTCTTCGCCAAACTAAATCGAACTCACACTACTAGTCCAGACGTATACTCTCCACTCGGTTCGACAACTGTCCCAGACTCGTCCACAGGCTTTGCTATATTATACATCGCGAGGATGTGCACCATGGAAATCCAAATAGACTCCATAGCGAAGTGCCTCCCCGGACAGATGCGCCTGCCGAAGCCGAATGCAACCATAGCGTCTGACGTGGCCTGGCTGAGCTGCCCGTCTGGTGTGAGCCAGCGAGTGGGGTCGAAGGTGTCTGGGTCCGGGAAGCGAACTGGGTCATGCAGGATTGCCCTATTCATGGACGTGTATGAGTACGAATAGAAATCAAGGGGTCAAAAGGATCGAGCACCACGAGTTCCCAACCACGATAGCGCCTGCAGGAATTTGGTAGCCTTTGTATTCGTCTTTCATGACCGCTCGATGTGGGACTGCTGTATATGTCGTACAACGTAAATGTATTGATTTTCTATTTAGCGACGGATCTGTATATGACGCACCGAGTGGACCTGTAGGACGCCACCTGTCAGGATCGGTAGGATGAGCAGAATGCTTCTTGCCATCTCAGCTGAAGCACAAGTAGAACGTACCTCAGAACTTCGTACATGATGGCAGTGATGTAAGGCAGGAATTCACGATGTGCGTAGTCCGGAAGACTGTCCTTTCCGATAACACGGTCGATATGTCCTTGAGCCACTGCCTGTACGGTGGGGTTCATGATCATGGCAAGCACGAAGGTTCCAAGAGCCGACGCAGACTGATTGGAGAGTCATGTTTCCGATAAAATTATCGGTAGCATGATAGACTTACGGTATCAGCACCCCCTCCATTCGCACATATCAGCGGTCGTGCCATTCAGAGGTCGGTCAAGTGCTTACCGACGTACGCCACTCCCGCGACATTGCGGATGAGGCGTTCGGACTTCGAGCTTTGTTTATCGTCTTCTAACTTTCCCAGGAGGGCCGCTGCAATGGAAGGCGATGCAGTTCCTTGTGTCTAGTCGTAAATTAATGTGTCAATATCTACCAGATTACTTATAATATAGAACAACTTGAACATTTACCATCGCTTTCTTGACAAGCTCGAGCGGCTTCGTGAACATAGCGGATACCACTTCGCTCCATTCCGCCGCCTCTACTTTGAACTGACCTCCAGGAGCCCAAGACGGTATGTATCGCACTGTCCAAATAAGCTGTGCGCTCCAAGTGACTATGAACGAAGAAGCGACTCACTTAATGGTACAAATTCGACTACGAACTTGTTGATGAGGTGCTCCAGATATCGTGACTCAGGGCTGGCTTACCCATATACGACCCTAAAGTCCCAGCTCGCGTTATTGAGCGCATGGCTTTCTCAGCGAGAAGGATGTACGAGTCGTTGTTGTCTTCAATTTCCATTCCATACGTGACGCTTAGTATAGTCGCCGCTGACAACCTGACATGGAAGTGTTTGTCAGCCTCCAGACTAATGCTCACTGTATATCGTTGCTTACAGACGAAGGTTCTTCGTGAAGTCGTCAGTCGTCAGGAGACCAACAATAAGTTTTCTAGCCTCCTTTACCATCTTATGTTGATACTTCTGGATCGCTTGGCCGTGAAACTGCTGGTGGAAGAGACGACGATGTTCTCGCCAATCGTCATTATATCCTAAGAAGGCAAAAGCTTTTCCCCAGCCAATGCTAGAAAAAGAATAAGCATGTGCCATTCGATAATACGCCGCTGCGGAGTGTTGAACACGGTCGAACAGATGCTTACAAGTCGTGTAGTATGACTGAATGCTGCCTATATCACAACTGATGAATGTAGGCTTCCTGACGATCTAAACACTATCGTCGCACCTGTCAGAATATATAGAGGATCGTTTGTCGAACAATTCGAACGCAGCCGTAGCTGAGTTGAGGACAACTATGGAGCTTCCGAGAACTCGTAGATGAATGACATCCGAACCTATCGCAACGCATGAATTGGTGAACAGTCATTGTCGCCGCACAATCAAAATTTCGCGTACCATATTCGCGGCCCCATCGCTGGTACGTCAACCAGCCGCGACCATCGCGAGGGACGTCTAAAATGTTCCCCAGGACCGGAAGTCCCTTCGGACCGGGAGGGAAACGGTGTCGCTTATACCGATCGCAATAGATCGAAAGCACGATGATGGCAGCTATCAGACTGCTCAGAACTAATGCGTCCATCTCGCTAGCTTAGTGAGAGTGATGAGATCACTTACCAATGCCCAACGCCGACTTATAACACAGCCTTAAGATATCGCCATGGTACGACTCATGCCGGATTTCAGTACCGGAGTGAAGCGTATGGAGCGACACACTGCCCAATTTCTGACTGTCACGACGTGATGTCACTCGTGGGTCGGTAAATGCATCCCGCCGAGCGCTAGGAGCGGCACGTTGATCAGAGCTGTGAAGTCAGTGCTGTGGGGACGGGGCTTCAATTGGTGGCAACGCTTCTTTGTCGCACTCAAATGGGGCGCCGGCCTAGTCTTCACTGACTACAATCTGTGCATGAATCAACAATAACGTCTACGAAGCAATGCATGCATGAGGTCTGGTGCGTGTGACAGTGTTCGTGGGGTTCGTAGAAGCCTCTGCGCACCAGGAAGACCCTTGTCGGATCTAGGCACCAGCAAATAGATGACCTCATTTACTCCCTTATCTGCAATCGTCCTGATCCAAGCTCGAAGCGAGACCACGGTTTAGAAGATGAATCAGTCAGAGTACTGTACCCGTACGACCAGTCCGGCGGTCACGCGTCAAACCGATTTTCCGCTAACCGCTCCGAGAATCTTTCCCTCTCGATTTATGAGTCGTCGGAAAGAAAAGTTTTGGCGCTTCCGGCCGGACTGGTCGCACGGGTACAGTAGATAGCATAAGCAACTGGGGCGGAGAATCGGCCTCTCTGCCTTCCTGAAAACAGTAGCAGCCTTCAATGGTCTTCGAAGAATAACATAGCCTATGCTTTGTTTCGCACAACAGCGTATTAGTCATCGAGCGCCATGGACTGGATGAGGCTGAGCGCAGCTGCAGACCGAGGCTTGAAGATTACCTTGAACGGAACAGGGTACCTAATCAAATATTTGCCAGTAAGCCGCCAATCAGTCATCTCTCTCCGCCAAGCCAAGCCAGACTTACACAACGAGCCCAGAGGTATATTCTCCACTCGGTTCGACAACTTTTCCAGTATCGTCCACCAGCTTCTCGATGTCGTACATCGCGAGAATGTGCACCATAGCGATCCAGATAGACTCCATGGCGAAGTGCCTCCCGGGACAGATGCGCCTGCCGGAGCCAAACGTAGCCATGACGTCCGACACGTCCTCACTGAGCTGCCCGTCCGATGTGAGCCAGCGAGTGGGGTCGAAGGTGTCCGGGTTCGGGAAGCGGACTGGGTCGTGGAAGATCGCCCTATGCAAGAAAAGGGAGTGTGGGTACGTGACGGGAAGCGAAGCGAAGCCGGGGACAGACGAGATCGCACCATACGTTGCCAACCACGACAGCACCTGCTGGGATGTGGAAACCGTTATATTCGTCGTCTGCGGATACTTGATGTGGTATCCCTATATATGTCATACAACATGAAAATGTTGCTTCCTGGAAGCGATCCTGTACAAAACGCACCTAATGGACCTGCTGGACGCCACCTGTCAGAACCGATAAAGTGAGCGGAATGCCTCATCTCTGTCGAAACGCTGACAAAATTTACCTCAGAGTTTCGTGCAAGATCGCGGTAACATAGGGCAAGAGTTCGCGATATGTGTAGTCTGGAAGACTGTCGTTTCCCACAACACGGTCAATCTGTTCATGAGCTGCCGCCTGTACGGAGGGGTTCAATACCATGGCAAGTACGAAGGTCCCAAGGACAGACACTGTCTGAATCGATGATTAAGCTCTGGGATAAGAAAGAAAGAAAGAGCCGGAGGCATGTTAGACTCACGGTATCAGATCCCCCTTCAGTTGCAAATATTAGCCATAGCCCTTAGAGGTCACATGAAGTATTTACCAATGTACGCCATTCCCGTGACATTGCGGATGAGGCGTTCGGATTCTGAGTTTTCGCTGTTTTCTTCCAGCGAAGCTAGAAGGCTCACGGCGATGGAAGGCGCCGCGGTTCCTTGCACCTGAAGATAAAATGGTGTGTAAATAAATAATAAATGACTCAGGATAGGGATAATACCCACCATTTCTTTCTTGATATGTTCGAGAGGCTTCGTAAACAGAGCAGATACGGCCTCACGCCACTCCGCTGCTTCCAGCTTGAACTTGCCCCCCGGAGCCCAAGACGGTATGTATCGCACTGTCTAATAAGCCGCGTGCTATTTTATGAATGACGAAGAGACTTACTGAATGGGACGTATTCGACTAGCGAATTACCAATGAGACGCCGCAAACTAAGTGTCAAAGAACTAACTCACCCATATACGACCCTGGGGTGGTAGCGCGTACTATCGAATGCATGGCCTTCTTGGCAAGGACTACGTATGGGTCGCTGTTGTCTCGGATGTCCATCCCATACGTGACGCCTAGTATAGTCGCCGCCGACATCCTGACACGGAAAGGTCTGTTGGTCACCAGAAGTAAGGCTCGCTGCATATCACTACTCACAGGCGAAGGTTCTTCGTGAACTCGTCGGTCGTCAAGAGGCCGGCGGTAAGTTTTCTGGCTTCCTTTACCATCTTATGCTGATACTCCTGGATCGCTTGTCCCTGGAACTGCTGATGGAAGAGACGACGGTGTTCTCGCCAATCGTCGTTATAGCCTAAGAAAGCAAAAGCTTTTCCCCAGCCAAGGCTAGAGAAAAATGAGCATGCCGCGTTTGATGATACGCCACGGAGTGTCGAATACAGTTGGACGGATGCTTACAAGTCGTGTAACATTACGGAATGCTGCCTATAACATAATCAATGAGCACAGGCTTTCTGACAATTCAGGCTCCACCTTCGTACCTGTCAGAATATATAGAGGACCGCTTGTCAAATAGCTCGAACACAGCCTTGGCTGAGTTAAGGACAACTATGGAGCTTCCGAGAACTCGTAGATAAATGACATCCGAATCTGCCGCGGCGCATGAATCAGCGAGCAGCTCCTCTCGCTGCACAAAATTAAGGTCCACGTACCATATTTACGACCCCATCGCTGATACTTCAGCCACCCACGACCGTCGCGAGGGACGTCTAAGACGTTCCCCACGATTGGAAGACCTCTCGGGCCCGGAGGAAGACTACGTCGCTTCCTCCGATCGTAGTAGACCGAGAGCACGATAATGGCAGCTATTAGACTATTCAGCAGCAGTGTTTGCATCTCACTAGCTTGACAGTAGCAAGGATACCTACCAGGGCTCGATGCCGGCTTATAACACGGGCTTAAAAATTGGAGATACAGCCATGGTACGACTCTTGCTTAATCGCGTTGTTACATGGAAAACGCGTGTGTAGCGGCGCGCTGATGGATTCCCAGCAGCCATCGCGCAGCATGTTGGGAAAAAATGAGGCCGATAAGGGCCAAGACCCTTAACATGGTCAGATGGGGATCCTTAACACGGTCAGATGGGGCGCCACGCCAACCTTATCTTCACCTGACTATATAGATGTCAATTAATGAAAAAATGGGTACCGTACATCGTGATAGTGGCATGAGGTAGATTATGTAAAGTCTGGATGCACTAATAAGCCTCCTAACAGGATGCCAGACGAGCTCAGGTGCTTACTGTGCCCTATCTAGGCACTCAACAAGCGACTAGTCTCATGTCTGCCTTCGGAGAATGATACTCCTCTGACACGAGGGTGTCCGTGATTCGAGCAGTTAAGCAGTGCTCAGAGGAATTGCAAATGGTGCACAAATGCTTCCCTTTAGTGGCCGCCGTCACCCTGCAGCTTTGCAAGCGTGAGTGGTGCGAAAACCTGCGTCAATGTATCCGCAAACAGGGCGAGGCAGGCACAGCAAAGGTGAGGACATCACATTGGAGTGTTATGCTAGAGAAGTCTTCGTAGGAGCTCTCGTGGGGTTCGTGTAAGTATCTGGCCGGGAAAGTGCTCTGGCGACGCACCAGTGCGGCACTAGACTTATTCCATCCCCTATCCGAGTTATCCTTAATGCTTAAGGTTCAGCCTCTCGCGGTTTTGATGAGTGAGCATGGACCATGTTCGCTTGGGGGGCATGTTCGTCGGGTGGGCGTCATGCCAGCGTCATGCCAGCACAGCTGAGACCGCGCCTGAATGACAGTGAGCCAAAACTGCTGCAAAGGTCCTAGTGGAAAATGTCGGCTAAGTCGTTATAGATATGGGCGTGGGTGCAAAGACTGTGCAAAGACTGGGTGCAGCAAAATCATTCTGTTCGTAAGCGGCAGCCGAGAAGGCAACCAGCCTGAGACGGTCAGGCGGTGCAGATCAACTCCGACACCCTTGTGGCGTCTGGCCCGCCGCACGGCCCAGCGGATCAAGCTTTCAAATTAACCCAGCTCAACAAATCCCACAACATGTCCGCCGCTTGCAGGACCCTGCAGTTCACAGGGCTGTATTAGGCAAGTGTCTGTTGTACGGAGGCGTTTCTCACGGTCACATGGGTGGCAGGTTTCGTCCGTAGTCCCCTTCCATATTTAGATATGATGCGCGCAGAGCGCACTCGGCTCTGGCGCCGGTTCATTCCCCGTCGTGTTTCCCCTCGTCTCAGCTTCCTCAGCGTACATAGGTATTGGAATGAATATATTAGGAAGTAGATAACATATAAAAGAACACAATGTATTATCCTAGGAATTTACCGTTGATTACTTGCCAATCCCCCGCCTGCGCGAATCCAATTCACAACAGTGTCCAGACTCCAGCTCTGAGAAACGAAGAATGACTAAGCGGGTGCCGACTGAAGCTTGACTGCAGGTTTTTTGGCCTACATAATACATCCAAAACTGCGCTAGCCGGGGATATTCGGCGAGAAATCTGCGAGGATATGCAGACTTTCGTGGATACCTGACGCGAAACCCTCGGTCTCACAGCAATCTTACTCATGTAATACGGCTTCAGACAATTATTGAGCTGCAACTGCACGTCGCTGAAACGACCGTCTGATGAGTTCCCGCGACACAACGAGGGTATAAAGCTGCACCTCGTCGCTGTTATTCCATCTTCCAACATCAGCTACATCAACACATACCATGGCAAGGCAACAGAAACTGCTTCTCTTGTCCGGCCCCGCAGGCCAATTCACCGTCGAGTCTAGAGATGTTCCCAACCCAGGTCCCGGATTCCTGCTCATCGAGCTGCATGCCATTGCGTTGAACCCCGCAGATTGGTTGCTACGTGACCTTGGGCTCTGGATTACACAGTGGCCTGCAGTCCTCGGTCTTGACGCCGCCGGTGTTGTCGCGGAAGTCGGTAGAGGCGTGACCAACGTTGCCGTCGGCGATCGCGTGTAAGCGTTGCTACTAGCATAACGGCTGGGCCTATCACCTGACGCTGCGGACATAGAATGTATGCAGGTACAGGAGAGGAACCGCGAGTTAGCACCTTCCAGCAGTACAACGTCGTCTGCGCCGAATTTGTTGCAAAGGTGTGCACCATCTCGGCCCTGAGATGTACGGTGTTGACATGCGCACAGATACCCGACAGCATGACATTCGACCAGGCGGCAACGATCCCGATAACGATGGCGACCGCAGCGCTTGGGCTGTACGACAAGCAACAAGAGCCGGACGGCGGACTCGGGCTCACGCCACCCTGGGAAGCTGAGGGCGGCCGCGGTAAATACGCAGGCGAACCGATTTTCATCACAGGCGGGGCTTCTGGCGTCGGGCAGCACGGTGAGCACAGGGCTCCCTCGAATCCTGCGTTTATGCTGCTGACCAAAGAAAAAAAATGTCACCAGCTATCCAGTTCGCCAAGATGTCAGGCTTTGCGCCCATCATTACAACCGCATCACTGCACAACGAGGCGTACCTGAAATCGCTCGGTGCGACGCATGTCATCGACCGGGCACTGCCTGCCGCGTCGCTCGTGCAAGCGGTGCAGGACATCACGCCGAAGCCTGTGCGCGTCGCGTACGACACCGTGTCGCAGCCCGATGTGCAGAACGCTATGTACAACCTCCTCGCTCCCGGCGGACGCATGCTCCGGGTTGGCCCGATGCTGGTCCACGAGGAAAGCCTCACGAAGGATAAGTACGTCGCACATGTATTTGCCGGCGTGCAGCGACCTGCGCAGCAGGAGTGCGGGAGGGCACTGTATGCGAAGCTCCCGGAGATGCTTGCAGCAGGAGACATCAAGGTATGCGCGTACCTGACGCTGTGCTCCCTACAGTCACTGGGCTCACCATATCTTGCTCTCAGCCAACCAGGGTCGAGCTCTTGCCAAATGGTCTCGTAGGCATTCCAGATGGCCTGGATAGATTGAAGAGCGGCGTCAGCGGTGTCAAGTATGTTGTTCGACCCCAGGAGACTCCTTGAGGATACAGTAGTTCGCATGCCTACCTAGATATTTGCATAGGAGCAGAACACTTCTTGCGATCATGCTGATACCGGCCAATGAAAGCGCTCATCGTGCTTGTTTGTCTCTACTTCTGAGTCTCGCTGGTGTAAACGGCCATAGCGAGAGATGTAAGTTCCTGTTTCTTACGTAGGCGTCTAATGTGTAAGCTACAGCGAACAAAGCTTGTCAGTTATGGTAAGCATGTGCAAGTAAAAGCAGCAAATTGCAATAAGTATATGTAAGTAAAGCCAGTAAACAATTGGGTAACTAACTTCATGATACTCACCGTACCTGCCCGAGGACATTAAGCTGAATCTGACTGCCTCAATGAAATGCGGAGCAATACGGCCCAGAAACCAGACACATGGCGACAGTTATCGCGTAGGGACGCGCATTTACGCTCGTGAAACGCACCAATGTGGCTGAGCGTGAGCAGGGTGATTGACCATGAGTTGTAATATACACTAGGGTTGGCGAAAGCAGCTCTAAGTACTTGAACTGTAGTAGATACGAGAAACTAGCTAGGATGGCAATACAAAGCGTGCGATTGCGGTGAGACTAGGGAAAGCAAATTACGTGACTCTGTCGTCGTCGTCGTCGGAAAGGAAAAAAAAAGATTAAGTGGAGTCGTTCAGAAGCGTCTCCTTCCACGTCTGGGCGATTGGCTCGTTGCCGAAGACCTCGCGGAGGACCTCACGCACGTCCTCGACATACACGAACCGGATACCCGTCTTCACGCTCTCGGGCACGTTCTCCTCGATGTCTGGCCGGTTGGCGGCAGGCGCAATAATTGTCTTAATGTTGGCGCGGTGCGCGGCGAGAATCTTCTCCTTCAGGCCGCCAACGGGCAGAACCTGACCGACAAGGGAGATCTCACCAGTCATGGCTGTACAGAGGTTATCAATAATGCCGCTTACACGTCTACGTGCGATTACTAACCAATATCGGGGTTGACCTTGGTCTTTGTAAAAAGAGAAACGAAGGCGGTCAGCAAGGCGGTGCCCGCGCTGGGTCCCTCCTTGCCAATACTGCCCTCAGGCATGTGGACGTGCACATCCTTGTTGTCAAGAATCTGCTCGTCTGCGGTAGCAACGATACCAAGCTCGTGTGCATGGCTCTTCACCCAGCTGAGCGCGATCTGCGCGCTCTCGCGGATGACCTCACCGAGCTTGCCGGTCAACTGTAGATGGCCTTTGCCGGGCATGACCTATTGCGCGGCGCACGTCAACTTGGATGAAGCTAGCATGACTGCTTAGTGACGTACTGTAGCTTCTATGGGCATAACGGCGCCAGAGCCATTGCCCAGGTAACCGAGACCGGTGCTGACACCGGATGGTGGTGGCTTAACGTACATTCTGTCCTTGTAGTACACCGGGGGACCAACATAATCCTTGAGGTTCTCAGGCGTGATCTTGACGTGAACAGTGTCGGGGACCTTCATAGGCTTGCGTTGGACAGTGGTGACCTTGCGTTCGCTATCCTCACTCTCTTGCTTCGGCGTGGCGGTCTCGGTCGCGCTGATCCCGCTCACGGGAGCATCCAGTCTCTCAACTGTCCTTTCGACGGTCTCGGTCTCGGATTCTTGAGGCTTCTCAGACTTGGCGTCCTTCGCCTCCTCAGTGGAGGCGACGGAAGCAGCGGGCTCGGGGAAGGCGTCCTCGCCAAGATCCTCAACGATCTTTAGGGCAGCTTTGCGGTAGATCTTGAGATTGCACGCGGGTCAGAAGGCACCACCGAATATCAGACTTACACCGCGTACCTTCTCGATGTGTTTCTTCAGGTTCCGAACACCACTCTCGCGGCAGTAGTACTTGATCAGCGCGTCAATTGAGGAACCATCCAGCTCAACGGCCGCATCCTTCAAGCCAGAAGACTCCCTTGCCTGAGGTGCGAGATACCGCTGTGCGATGTGCATCTTCTCCTCAGACACGTAGCCACTAACTTCGATAACCTCCATGCGATCAAGCAGAGGGGCTGGGATCGTGTCAAGAACATTGGCGGTGCAGACGAAAAGCACCCTAGAGAGGTCGACTGGGACATCCATGCTAAGAATTTTCACGTGTTAGAAGAACATTGATCGCAGCCAAGAGCAGCATGACGCACTAGTGGTCCAGGAACGCCGTATTCTGCTCCGGGTCCAACATCTCAAGCAGCGCGCTAGAAGGGTCTCCATTGTGTCCACGACCAATCTTGTCGACCTCGTCGATGAGAACGAGCGGGTTTTCCGTTCCCACGCGCTTCAGGGCCTGGATGATCTTGCCAGGGAGGGCACTACAAACGGGTCAGCCCGAGCTATTCAACACCAGACCACATCGACGCACCCAACATATGTTCGCCTGTGACCCTTGATCTCCGCCACGTCCGTAAGACCACCGACTGAGAACCGGAAGAACTGTCTGTCAAGAGCACGCGCAATTGACTTGCCAATGGACGTTTTGCCAACACCAGGAGGGCCAACAAGACAGATAATCTTGCCTTCGACAGTACCACGGAGCTTGCCTACAGCGAGAAATTCGAGGATACGGTCCTTGACGTCCTTCAGGCCGTAGTGATCCTCGTCGAGGACCTTCTGCGCGTGGGTAATCGAATAGTTCTCAGGCGAATGTTGACCCCAGGGGATCTGCGGAAGATCAGCCACGTTTCTGGCCATACCATAGGACGGCAGAACGCACCTGTGTGAGCCATTCCAAGTAGTTCCTAGTGACATTCGCCTCAGAAGCAGCCGGCTCTAGGTGCTGGAGTTTGTTGAGCTCCTCGTCGAAGATCTTCTTAACAGCCTCTGGCATCTTGAGCTGCGCAGCGCGCTCCTTGAACTTTTCAATCATCTTGTCCTTGCCATCTGACTCCATACCAAGTTCCTTTTTGATGCCCTTCAACTGCTCCATGAGGTAATACTCTCGTTGACGTTTCGCAATCTTGCTGTCGACATCGCGGGAGAGCTTGCTTTGAAGCTGAGCATTAATGAGCTCCTTCTTGAGTACCAACAGAGCCTTCTGGAGTCGATTCTCGACAACCAAGCTCTCCAAGACATCCTGTAACTCCTGAACTTCTCCCGTCGAAACCGCAGCCGCAAAGTCTGCCAGTTTGTCCGGCTCATCAAAGACGTTCGAGGCGACCTGGTTGATAGAGAAGTTGGTAATCTGGTCACGGAAGAGCGGGTTGAGCTGGGCGATATCCTTGAAGACAGATACAATCTCGGACATAAATGCGCGAATGTACTGATCGTCCTTGTTGTACGGCTGAGTCGCGAGGTTCTCGACGCGGACGACAGAGACGTCGAACTTCTGCAAGAAGGCCGTCTGCATGATTGCGTGCTGAGTTACGTCCAGTTCCTTGGCACCTGGTTCCGGCGTTGCAGGGGGCGTGGGCAGCTGTGCTTCTGTTTCTGGCACGGTTTCGACTTTCGCGGCGGCAGTACCGCCAGCTTTGACCAAATCTGTGATCTTGATGCGTCGGTGGGGGTAAAGTACGGCTGTTAGACCCTCCTCTTGTTCGCCCTCTTTGGCTCCTGGACCTGGATTCGCAGCGAAGACACTAGTGATCTGTGCAAAAACTCCAACCTGGTGTACCGAGTCGATGTTCGTGATGACGTCGCTGTCCGCATGTTCATCCTTGAGCAAGAACGCGCCAAGGTACGGCTGGCCTCTACGCATCATCTCCTTAATGGCAGCCACCACAGCTGGGTTGCGGATGACAACTGCCTTGTAGAAACCGGGGAAGAGCGGGCGACGAGCGATCGGAAGAGCGAGAACCTGCGGATAGATTTCCGGTACAGACTGCTTCGAGATTTGCGTCTGCGCTTGTGCAGGAGGATCAGGTGGTGGAGGTGGCGGAGGTGGCGAGTCTGACTGTGAGCCATCCGAGCCATCCCCTGAAGATGATGAGGATGACGATGGAGGCGCAGACGAACCTGGAGGTGCCTGTGAGTCCTCCGGGCTGTCTAGCCGCACGGCCGTTGGTTCATGGCCTTTTCCCGGCTCCTCGCCCTCCGTCGACTGGGATACTTGGACTCTATTGATCCATCTAGGATAGAAAGCCGGTTGGCTGGGCTGGTAGTCGATGACTGTAGAGGTGTTAAATGCTCTCCGTTGTCGCACGACCTGAACCAGCGGACGCGAGGAGCCAGCTTCAGTCCAAAGGCGACGACTACATGTTCTCGATGTCGCCGGGGTCGATGATCTGAAGAGAGCAAAGACGTTCATGCGCGACCGGGCCTCGAACGGCTGACGCAGGAACGAAGGAGAAGGGTCGAGTTCAAGTGACGATTGCTCATCCGAAATTTCGGATGCGTAATTCGGGCGCCAGCGGACATGGCCAATCTTATCTCTTATCTATTGCATTACCTATCTGTGAACGTCTCACCTGATCAACTGGAGGAGAGCCGTCTGCACCTTGCTTGACTATACACAGAGATTTATTGCAAGAGATAATTACAGGAGCACCGTTGCATCCATATCAGATAGGTAGAACTCCATATATACATTTTTTTGAAAACAGCTGCCATCCATCGTCTAGCATGGGCTCATGGGAGAACGAGAATTTTTGTGTCGACAATGTCGGCAGCGATCGCGAAAATGTCTGAAGTATTGCCACTGTTCTTACTCTTGGCGAACCAGCCAGTGAACGTGACATAGACGATAACAAGGACATTGGGTAGCTCAGACAAGTAGCTGTTGAGTTTAGAAAGGCTGCTCTTGTGGTCGTACACAGAAATGGGGCAGTCAGTGTGCACGTGTATGCTGTCCTTGCGCAATGCACATCAGTTTTCTGCTCGACGCAGATGGCCCTCAGTGAGTGCGCCCTTGAGGCAGCCCGCCGGGCCATGCCAACGAGAAAGTGCCGCTGTAATACATCACGTTCGGGTGCCCATAGCCGCGGGGTTCTCTTAGAACCAGTGACTGGTCACTCTGGTCAATGACTGGTCAATGACCGAGTCAGACATGACCGTGACTGGCCGGTTTTCCCTTGGCAGCCAACTATGTCGCAGGACGCCATCAGGCCCTGCTGTCCATTGGGGTCTGTCCTCCCAAGCGCTCGACCCTGGCATTCCGCTTGCGTGGGATACCGCCCAGTCATTGACTGTAACTCGGTCGTTGACCCATCAGTGACCAGCTGTCAGTCAATGACCGTGACTGGGATGACTCGGTCATTGACTGCCCAACACTGCTTAGAACAGTGACCTCCAGCTACACACCACTGCACCAGAGAAATTTGGAACTTTTTTGTTGCAAAAAAATGCAAAAACAGCTTGTAAAAATAAGTAAGAAAATGTCATATTTTTTCTTGGTATCTGGCAGCCCAGCAACTTGGCAACCTGGCAGCCGAGCCAACTGTCCACCAGGCTGTTTGTCAAAGCACCCAGGGGACAGCAGATAATCAGCTCAACTGCCAGATACTAAGCAAAAAAATACAGCCTTTTCTTACTTTTAAAAAAAGCTTTTTTTTGCATATCCTCCGTGACAAAAAAGTTCCAAATTTCTCCCGCGCTGATAAGTTATTGATGGCAGTTTAGGCTGATGTTCTCAGGAGATGGAAACATTATACCACTGTGCCCATAGCATCAAAGAAAGTATCATATAATGCAATTGCTTGCATGTGAGAGCTTGGGAAGGAATTGACACTAGTGCTCACCAATTAAGATTACATACAAAATTTAGGGATATGTTGTCATACAGGAATGAGTTTTGTTATGTGTGCTTGAGAATCAAGCATGGCATGTTCCTCTGAGGTTCACTGGACCACGGCGTTGGGTTGAGCTATCCCAGCATTTGTGCAATTTGAGAGAGGAAGAGTAATGAGTTGGTGTCGATGAATGCAAAGTTAGCAACAGTGAAGCTTGCTGCGTATCTTGTGGACAACTTAGAGGGCAAACACTGCCTGTTCTTACTAAGAGAACTTTAGTCAGATTGGCACTCAAGAGCTGCGGGCAAACAACAGATATATTTCTCAGGTACTACTACTGACATAGCTGAGAGGGAAAATACACTGGTGAGGGTTGCGGGGCAAGGTCTGTCCCTTTTATTTTTCTACAGCGAGCTGCTACTTATATACTCTCAGACCATTTACCTTTGTTTTAACCCTTACATTCAAAGGTGGTCTCTACAATCTGCTTTCATCTGGTTTAAGAACATTGTGTTTTTGCTTCCGACAGACTCAAAAGCAGTTGACGTGTTGCTCTATCTTCCCATGCACTAGTCTGTGCATTGCGCGGTGAGTTTCCTTTGTTGACGCAAAGTCAATGCCTGACAATGTATGCATTAGAATTGCATACAATGTACACTAAGGAGCACACACAAGAGCTAGCACCAACACCAACCTCTCCAGCATGGTGGTATTAGGTATCAGGAGTACTAGCAACTGATTTACTCGACACTTTTCTGGTGCTTGCACGTTGGTCATATCCTACATGATTCAGAAAGCAATAGAGCTCATGTTGACTCTGGCTGGTGCTTTCTAATCTTTGTCCAGTTCTCAACAGTGTCTGATTCCTGTTTTGCGAGTCTGCAAAAACCATCTGCCAGTGTCACTGCATGATACAGTGGCCTGGAAGGCTCGCACAGGACTTGAATGATGTGCATGTGTACTTGGGGCCTCTAGATTATAGTTTTAGTGGTGCTGACCATTATGATTCTTCACACAACCTGGGTGGAGCCACCAAGGCTTTGGCAAGGCACAATCTGAGTCAATATAACATTGATCAGGGTCACCAGAGACAAAAGCTGGCTACTCTGTATAGTATAACTCATGCATTAACACTTTGATTTTTAAGTTGCTGAATGTTATGTCCAAGCCAGGTTTATATAGCTAGAAGATAGCTCTCAAGTGCACTCTCATTAGTTTATAAGACTTGTTTGTTCTAAAGCAGGCCACAGGGATACATAACAATAGTATTTATGCACAATATACCTTATGTAACACTTATAGAATTCTTAGTGTTGCATGCACGCCTCCTGCAATTGAGCTTCATGCTCACTTGCATGACATGTCTGCCAGCCACTTAGGCTTTATGCAAATTATGCTATTGTGATGTGGTTAAATTGTATGAATGATAGATCAACTAGTGAGTGTACTAGTGCCAAGGAAAATGAGCAATGCACAGTCTGAGAGAGATACAGGCCTTACATTGACACTATTTTGTTGACTTCCTGCTACTCAGGCCAAGCCAGGGGTTACTAGTCCTATTATAAATTCATCTGTGAATTATTATTATATATATATTAATTCTCAGTTGCTTAAAGTCCTAGTGACCGAGCAGTCCTGAGGCCTGACCAAGGGCCTGACTGGGCAGCAACCATGGTGTTGGACCTCTGGTACTCTATACCACCATGCCAGAGAGGTTGGTGTCAGTGCTAGCTCTCATGCATGCCCTTTGGCGTACACGGTGTTGTGTATCAAGTTGGATTGACATAAGATACAAATAAATAAGAGCCTGATTCACTCACCTTAGTAAAGCAAAGAAGGAGTAAAGCTAGGGAAGCCTTTGGAAGCTCATGGAATCAAGTGAAACATGATGGAAGATGCTAGAATAGACTGTGGGAATGAATGGGACAAATTAGGAAAGAGGCTGTTTGCCTCAGAACTTTATGGAACCTTGTAGAATAGTGTAAAATATGGGCCCCTGCCACTCTGTGAATGGATATATAAAGCCCCCCTCATGTAGAGTAGAACTCCAGCTTTTTGTATCTAGTGTTGGTCTAGTACCACGATCCACTCACTTTCAGCGTCAGTATCTGTGCTGTGTGCCTGGAGTGCCCTTTCCTGTGGGGCGGCACCACACAAATATCAGCAGCATGTACAAGCATCAGGATATGCATCTGATCTATGTCTCGGACATGCATATCTTCAGCAGGAGCGCATTCATGTTCGACCTGTCCATGCTGTGGCCACTTTCACCACACACTAACACCACACCCAACTTCTAGATGCTGCACAAATTTTGGGGTACTGTGGACTCAACTACTTTGGTGGTGGGCTGAATGCGCATAGAGGCAGGCTCAGTGTACAGATGTAGTATATCACCTTGAAAATATGTCTATACATGCTCAGTAATGCACCACTGGGAGCAACTTGATGTTTAGTTACCTTACTACCTTCGTCTCAGAAATTGATACTGCCAGATATCTTATTACATATAATTACATATGCTTATTTAAAATTACATACACGTAAGATTATGCATATCATAAATTATGGTGATCGTTAATGTAATTGAGTGTGGATAAGTCAGGGTACTTTTAAGGGCAGAAAGGCTTAGGTGAGCTGAAAAGCTTGACTAGCCTTGCTTTCAAAAGAAACTGCACTCCTAAGTGAGGTGGACCAGACTTTTGGTTAACTTCTGCCTTAGTTGTTCAGGGAGGAAATAGCAGACGAGCTTGAATGCCTTGTGAAGAATAGAGGGTCTTCTAGAAGGGGATTGCACTGGAAAGCAGCTAAGCTCTACAGTACAAGGGGAAACAAAGGAGCTGAAGAGCATAGAGAAGCTCTACAGCATCAGAGGAAATGCTAACCAGCTGACAACTAACCAAAGGACGAGAGGGTGAAGTAGCAACAAAGCTCTTTACACCAAAGATACTGACTAACTGACTGACTGACTGACTGACTTTGGGTGAAGTAGCAACTAAGCTCTCCAGGCAGAGAATACTGACTAACTGACTAAACAGAAGAGGCTAGGCTATCATGCGATACAGCAGGCAACTGGACTAGGCTCATATAGGACATACAAAGGCTGAGCACAAGTGGGGGCTTGTTAGAGAAGGCAGACATCGTGCTACTGCTGCCAGAGCTCTTAGTGGGTGATGGCATGCTGTGCATGACACTGGCACTGTCAGGTGCAATGAGGTGCATTCTGCCACTGAGCCAGTTGAGCTTGCACGCAGTGGAGCCTGTGCGCCTGGTGCTGGAGCTTTCAGATGATGTTCTGCAGCAACATCAAAGAGGGTGCAATCAGGGCACAGTCAGTGCAGAGAGGAGGAGAAATGCATGATGTTGTTCCTGGCTGTTATCGTGCACTTAGCAGCAGACATGCTCCTGCAAGGGCTTTCTTCTTGAGCTTGGCCCCTGCACGGTCAAGCCCAGCCAATGCTAAAGAATATTAATGCTCATGATGCACTGACATGACTCACTGCGTGTCAGCATCTGAAGGATTCTGATGTCCATTGGGTTGGTGCCTTGCATCAAGAGCACATTGGTGTGTGACTCTCGAGTGGTGCACACCATATCTGAACTCACCGCAGCCAATCATGGCCATTCTGGAGGTCTGACATATGCAGCATACAGATTACATACAGGCAGCATAATTTACAATATGCATAGTACACGTACGATATGCCATGCGTACATGTAGGAGAACAATTACGGCAAATCCCATAATTAATCTTAAGATATGCTTAATTTGGAATTATAATGGTATGTAATCATAATTTTGGTGAGCACTAATTGACACTTGAAAGCTTAAAGCTTAAAGCTTGCATGACAGTTGATGCACCTCGCAGGCTGCTGTAATCCAGGAGAGATCCTAAGACTGGCTGTAAGCACAGATGGATAAGATAGATGAGCTGACGGAGATGCACGAAAATAGCGGATCAAGCCGGGCTCATGATTTGATGGCAATTACATAGGACCACTCCTTGGGACACCTGATTAATATTCACTTCCCCTTCGTATGTCTCTTGCATATAAATACCAAATAAATCGTATTATATTACTACAACATATGAAATACCTCAGTGCAAAGCTGCAAGGCGAAAAGACGAAAGCTGATGTCAAGACAAAGGACACAAGACGGAGGTGGTCCAGGACAGCGACTACCACTCCTTGGGACACTGTGACTGATGTGACAAAAGTGACCTGCACCAGCAGTCTTGGCGGACGCGGCGGTCACGCGGCAGTCAAACTTGTCACGCCTCAGTAACGCCTAAGCTCAGTAGAATCATCTCTGATGTATCCTAGCTCGACACTTGACAGCTGAGCACTATGCGCATTTTTCACATGAATGGAGCATAAATTCAAGTATTAACGAATATTTTTGCGAATTTTAAGCTCACTGTGCGACTCTGGTGACAATCACAGCATCACTGAAACCGTTGCTCCCCCACCTACGCTACAATCACCGGACGGCTCTGAGTTTCTAGTGGCATATAGATATAGATGTATTATATACAGTAAAATGATAGTGATAGGACCTACAGGCTGTGCGAGGGCAGAAAGTGGAGTGTCCCAAGGAGTGGTGCTGTCCCAAGGAGTGGTCCTACACTGTATGCCTGTCCCAACATACCTGGGTAAGCAAGGTAACCTCTGCAGTTACTCGGTCACTGTTCTCGCTTACCACAGTTACTGACCTTGCCTTTGCACGCGACGCGCTTTGCTACTGATCTCGTATCATGCATGGGTGCCCTCTTGCGCACGTTCAGACGGGCCAAACCTCGAGCTCCCACACACGCATTCCGCATTGGTTCCGTGATGTCCGTTCACAGGAGCAGTATCTGCAGTGGTCGATAAGCAGGAACCACAGGTGCGTGTTGCGTGATACCCTTCAGACAATTACCCCGCTGGTTTTATAAGGTGTTGCAGTCCAGAGACCCCGCTATCCAACTTGCCTCACCCGCTAAGTACAGTGCACGACAGCCTGCCATGTCGTCCGCCAACAACGAAACCTCTCGCGGTCTCCATGCACCACCCGTTACAAAAGAGGTTCTGCAGCAGACAGCGTCCCTTCTTGGAGTGCAGGTTCCCGACAGATGGGAGGAGGACTTCACCATCATGCTAGGGACTACGCGGGAAGCCATGGAAAAGATTTTGGATATGGAAGGTTAGTCCCAACGTAAAGTTCATATCTTACGCATGCTGAGGCTGCTTTGCACAAAGACTTCGTCATACAACCAGACCTGAAACGCTTCCCACGTAAGGACGTCTCTCGCCCCGGTCTCGAGGAGAATTCCTTCAACGCATGGGCTACGAAAGCAATTGTTGAGAATGCGAACGAGGACGAGCGTTCCCATGGTCTCCTCGCAGGCAAGAAGGTCGTCTTGAAGGACAATATCTGTCTGGCTGGCGTCCCGTGCGAGTTTGGCACAAAGGTCTTCGAGGACTGGATACCCCGCACAGACGCAACTGTAGTCACGCGTACACTCGAAGCTGGCGGAACGGTATGCTTCTATAGTTCCGAAAGCGCGCAGTGACATTTATGAATTGTGCAGATTATAGGGAAAGCGACATGCGAGAACTGTAGGTGCCACTTCTCTCAAATCGCCATTCTGAAGATCTGATACGCTCTTAGTTTGCTCTTACGGTGTATCGAATACTGCAGCCACAGGACCTGTGGGCAACGTCTACGATAAGACTCGTTCTGCAGGCGGCTCTTCTTCGGGCTGCGGGGTCCTTGTTGCCCTGGGCGAGGCTGACATGGGCATTGGAGGTGATCAAGGAGGCTCTATCCGCATTGTACGTGGCTTCATTGCTAAAACGCGCGCTGTACCCATGCTACCTAGCCTGCATCGCACCTCGGTATTGTCGGACTCAAACCCACTTTCGGCCTCGTCCCTTACACAGGCATCATCTCGAGCGAAACGGCAGTCGACCACACCGGCCCGATGTCGCGTGATGTCATGTCCAACGCGCTCCTTCTACAGGTTCTCGCTGGTGTCGACGGGCTTGATGACCGTCAGCTCGCTGGAACGCCCTTGCCCGACCAGGTTCCGAACTACACCGCGCTCCTGTCCTCAGCGAAGTCCGCCCGGGCCTTGCTCTCGGTCGGGGAGAGAAAGTCAGCAGATTCTGCGCCGGGTGCAACGCGTCCGTTGCGCATCGGTGTGCTCAAAGAAGGAGAGAACTTCGGAGTTATGGATCCTCGCGTTGCTGCCTGTGTACGGGCGGCGGTGGAGAAGTTTAAGGAACTCGGTGCGGAGGTGGTCGACTTAAGCGTGCCTGGACACACAAATGTACCTGTGTTTGGACGTGTCCAAAGGTGAGTTTATCTGCTGACGTATCGAGATCGTTCGCTGAGCTGTTTTGCAGAATTGCGTCTAATTCACTACTAGGTCGGCACAGCGGCACCCGGCAAATGCACCTCACGGATCTAAACGAGAGGCTGCTCCCTTGGACACAGGGAAAATTTGAGAAAGTGTGTCACATATCCTATCATGCTGGCGCTTGACACTGAAGTCTCTCAGCTATGGTTCATCGCAGCTCACTACATGGTATCAGGCATGTACGCCGAGCAGAACTACCCTCAAGTTTGTTTTCATATGGCTTCCGCCGTTTTTCTTTACTTATTGCGATCCGCAGCTTCATGGCAAAGTGCATAACTTGATCCGCAAGCTGAAGCTCGATTATGATGCCGTTCTCGAGGGCGTAGATCTCATGGTCATGCCCACTCTACCATGGGTCGCTAAAAAGCTGATGGTGCGTCGAGCATTTTGGGACTCAACATTGGATGCTGACATCACTATCATCAGCCGCCGGATGCATCCCCACTTGCTCAACTGAAAGACTACGACGGCTTAGTGAGTCGCCTAGTCTGTCGTCAAGCGCTTCGCATCTAAATTCTAGCGGTAGACATCCAATACAATGGCGTTTAACTTGACAGGACATCCAGCCCTATCCGTTCCTTGCGGTATGCTGACTCCGCCAGAGGGCCCGGAGGACCTTCGCCTGCCTGTTGGGATGCAATTGATTGGAAAGTATCACGATGAGCTCACACTGTACAAAGCTGCGCTGGCTTGGAGCGATGCTTTTAATTGGAAGGAGCTATGAAGATAGTAGCCATGCAGTATTACAAGTCGGTAGAGCGGAATATGATTGCCTGCATATGTCACCTCGCGAATGTGGAGGAGGTCAGTCTGGACTCGACCAACGCGGGGATCACAAGTCCATATATTTCGAGATATTCGGCCGATTTAATATGTATAAGGCTTTATATAGCTTTCCTCGCCGCTATATACATCGTCCGTCTCCTCTAGCTCTACTCACTTGCGCTAGCCCTCTACTTCTCTGGTCTTGCTATCGCTGCTAAACTCTATACCTGAAAGAATATCCTTGGATTTTTGGCTACATTTCCCCTGTACCGGGCGCCCCGGACTTGATGTTCACACCGACAACCACAACTCTCCCACAAAGAAATCCGACCGAAGATGACTCGTCGAAGACTGCTCGGCAGCGATCTAACGCACGTTCGCGCGCGCCATCCGTGGCGGAATCCTCAGTACCCGCCACCCGCAAGCCTGGGCTGCCCGCAGCGTCCTCTGAGGTGGTGCACATGTCGCCAGAAGCACTGCGAAACAATGAGAGGCTCTTTCCCATGATTCAGGCGCAGCTTTCCGAGGATAGGATCAACGGAGGCTATGCTTCGAGCGCGAGGAAGTTGGCGGGGTGGATGAGCAGGGACAAGGCGTACTACCCGGCGGCAAGGTCATGGGTGAGTCTCCTGTGTAGAGGTCAGAGAATCCGACTCAACGTCGCGCGCCACAATGCTTAGATTATCGCACTTCTCGAGGTGGGTAAACCTTATACGATTTCCGAAGTATTGAGCCAAGATTTGGAACAGACGGCGCAACAGACCCTCCGTCGAACAGCGGGCAATGCGCTGCCTCAGGGCCAGCCGTTCCACGTCTCGCAGTGCCCTAGCATCCTTAAGACACAGTGGGTTGACCCATACACCAACCTTGTTGAGATCCTGCGTCGTTATGAGCATATGTTCATCGAGCCCGACTTACGAGGTAAGTGTGCATCAGCTTCGTACATGTCGACATCTGAGTGTGGCGCTTGCCTTCGCAGTACGCCTCCAAGCCCTCCTTCATACCATCGATGGACCCGCTCCCTCGGCACCAAGACACCGTATGACGCATGGTGCGAGCGCGTCGGGCGCGGCCTCGCCGATGCCGCATGCCGTCCCCGCCCCCAGACCTGGTTCGTCTGCGTCCATTCGTTACGCTACTTCGAGCCCCGAGAGTCCTATGGCATACCATAAGCCACCTCAGTACACTGTACCCCCACCAGCTACTGATCCTGCACCTCTAATTGTGACAATTCCGCCGGCTATGCCGTATCGCCAGCAAGTCGCCTCGCCCGCGCAGATGTCACTTGTGGAAGCTCATCCCACCGCAGTGAGACAGCCGACATTGCCCTCTCGCAGAGGTGTCAATGGCTCTATCTCGCCTATGTCTCCGCGTCCAGTTCTCGCACAGTCCAACGCTATGCCTCGGATAGTCAGCACTCCATCTGCAGTTGCTTCGTCTCCTGCACCTGCTGCGTTAACGCCAGACGCCTCCGTCTCTGCGCCTACGAAGCGGAAGCCGAAAGCAAGACGTGAGCTTACTGAGGACTATTTGCTGGACGATATGGAGTGGTTCAGGCGACAGAAGGAGATGGAGATGGAGATGGAGATGGAAGCACAAGCGCAGTCGGAAGCGAAGCAAACTACCGATATGTCTAGTTCTGCAGCGGAGCCTAGACCTACCCTGGTCGAGCAAGATCATGGTACAACGATAGATGAAAATGCCCGAGCATCGCCAACGGACCTTCCAGGGATGGCTGGACTAAGTCCTATCGATCAGCCAGCTGACGCTAAGTCCGGCATCACCGACCAGGACGTTCATATGGCGGACGCCACGTCCGCCGTTACTGGGACGCATCCGCCGGTCGACGCGATGGTCGCGGATGCTGTGTCTCAGCCACCGAATGAAATCTTGATGCAAGCCGAACCACAAAGTTCACTCGTCAACGATGCTAACTTGAGGACGATGGAGAATAATATATCTGCCGTCCCTGTTCCCGTCGATGTTAATGCCAAGGCCCCAGCCGAACCATCCCCTGTCTTCCCCATGGCCAGTGCATCCGCCTCGACTGCTCGCGTGTTGGACTTATCTAAGCTAAGCTCGTCAACTACGTCGAAAGCTAAGAAGCAACCATCTACCGATCTGGTCTATTCTAAAGTGGCCCAGCCGCCAGATCCTGCCGATGTCACACCTGTCTCTGGCCCGTCCGCCACTCCTGCACCCGCAGCCGAACAGTATGATGCTCCTCCCACTTCAGAGTACTGGCCATCTGTCTCAACCTCCAGCGAAGCAAGCTGGAGCATCCAATTTTCTCATGTCGTCAAGAAATCGACGTCGAAGAAGGGTCCGCCCGGGATCAGAGCCTCAGAGCTCCTTGTCCAAACCCAAGACTCTTCGATGCTAACGGGCTCTTCTGACGTTGGGCCACCGCGTACTGGCATTAAGCTGCAATCAACGAAGGGTCTAGGGCTCAAGATAAAGTTGGTGCCGCCTAAGCCTCCTAATCCACCTTCTGCCGAGCCTCTCAGCGCTTCATCCACAACGTCCAGCATTCATGATACTTCCAAAGGTGAATCCACTTCTCAGGCGACGGCCTTTGTTGACTCACATACAGTCAACAAAGTTAGTTCTGGAACGAACACGTCGGCGACTCACAGCCCGATACAGCCCGCAACTACTGCGCCTACCCCGACCAGGGCGCGTACGGGCTTAGACTCAGAAGAAGATGAACCGCTCGCTGCACGACAACGACGCGTAAGCGGACAGCATGGCTCTCCTGTCGCGAAACGTGCACGGTCTGCGAGTCCGGACACGCCTCTGGCTCAGCGGCGGAAGAGCATGCAAGATACACCGACGGGTTCGCGGAGATCGTCTCTGGTCACCCAAAACAAGCCTAGAGAGTACACTGTCAACGCTTTTGCGAGCGGAAATTTTGTCTATTCTCCGGTTCGAACAAAGGCGATGGATACCGGCGGGCAAACGAACATGGACGTGGACGAACGCGACGGCAGTCCTGCAATTTTATTGTCGAGTCTGTCACGGGCCCCCGCTTCTGGTCGACCTAAGGGGCCGGTGCGGACAGTGGAAGACATGGGACTCGATTCTGAGCCGTTTACAGACGAGGAGCTTCAGAGGCTGCCGATCTTCCGTAGCAGTGCGAATCTCGTGTTCGCGCATGGGAAGCCCCCGGGCGACGCCGCACCTCTTACGTTCCCATTCGAGCTGGAAAAAGCGGACTACGATGCATGCTTGTCATGGTCTAAGCAGAACGACCACAACCAGCTTGCGAGGTGAGTGTCCATCTGAACTTGCTCACATCTGCTCTAACTTCTGTCAACCTCGCAGTGACCTGACCTCTCTCAAGTGTGTCTCCTTGTCATGCTATCATATAGAGGAGTGCAGCCGCAAGCTCCTAAGTTTCAGCAATCCGAAGCCGCAGGATATCTTTGCAGGCAAGCCGAACGACTTCCCCACGCACCTGTCGGTCTATCTGCGCATTGAAGGGCAGGACCCGCCCGAGTTTGCGGTGACATGGGCCCATCTCGTAGGCGTTATATACATCCGCTCGCCGTTCCCCACTCACCCTGCCGTGCCAACAGCTTGAAAACAGGCATGATCAGCTCGTCGATCTCTCCAAGAAGGTGCGCCTGGGCACAAACAAGATCGAGCTCTACGCGGGCAGGCCCGATGTTGATTACAGCCAGTATGTCTTCGTCCTGCGCCTGCACTCACCCACGCCAAGGCAAGCCGCGTGGTGGTGGGACCGCAAGAGAGAACAAGTGAGCTGGCAACGGACACTCAGACGGTTCTCCCACTTCGAGATGTCGTCGATTGACCTCAGTCAGCGCGCGAAACATACTGAGCACACGCCTGCGTAATGTTTGTCTTGTGGGAATCCTATCTTCTTGTCTTTTGCTGTCTTTGCTCTGCTGTGCTATGCTTTCTTGCTGTACGTTAGTTGACCCTCATGTACTTATTCATTCTTGTTATTACGCAAGGAGGCCAGAAACCTTCACCTGCTCCGAATATACAGCTCTCAATAAGCGAGTTGAGGAAGCGAGTGTCAAATTGAAGGTAGAAAGTCAACACATGCAATGCAATAACCGAGAGGGCGATAAAAAGATACATGTCGAGAGTGCGCGGAGCATAAATTATATGCGTGAATGCGATGTTCAATGCGAGGATATGCACAAGCCCAATCTGCGGCGAGCTACGACTGAAGTCCAAGAGAGCTGAGCCAGCTATCCCAGCCATTAGTCGCGGGGCTGTTCGCCCGTTCACCATCTGGTCTTCCAACGTAGAGAACGAAAAGCCGGTCCGCTTGGCCACTCAGTTGTACAAAACGAATGATGTTGTCTCCCGGAGCGATATACGGTGTGACATCGATCGGGCCGTCGTCAGGTCCCTACCGAGCAGCGGTAAGCACTGAATTGTAGATGAACACACAGAGGCATACCATTTGCTTGGGTAACCACGCTGCGCGCGACTCGCGATGGGTGTTCATCTCGACGATGAGCTGGCCACGCGGCGGCCACTTCGTCTTCATCTTCCAAAGCATTGTCGCGAACGCTTCTGGCGACATAGATTGGTCGGCCTCGACCGCTTCCTGGACGTCGGAAGCATGCAGGCATAGCAGGTGGAATGCGGCGTACGATGCCGACGAACTACACACGATGTAAGCACAAATGGAATCGCAAGGAAGGGGAAGATACACACTCGAATGCCCGTCCGCATTCGTTCCACCGCTTCGCAGCTGCAGCAGACTCATCGTCGACGTGGAAGGCGACACTGTGAACCGTCGCATGGTTCTGGCCGACCTCTGCGAAACAAAGACCAGGTATTTGAAGGGGAGTAGGTGGTGTTACCGAAGACGTGAGCGCAGATCCAGACGCCGTGTCGCTCGACGCATAGACCGCAGAATCAATTTCCATAGGGATGGTGATGGGACTTGAGGCGTTTTGACGGACGTCGGCCGATGCTGTATCGGGTGGTGCTCCAATATCTTCCACCATAACCTGACTATCGCAATCAGGTAGTGCTGGTTCTGTTCCGGAGCCTTGCGCATCGAACGAGGGAGAAGTGGTAGCTGCAGACGGTACGGTGTCAGTATGCACCACAGGGATCGATCTGTCCATTACAGTCGAGTCCGCATTTGAATCCATTTGCGGACTCCGTTGTGCCTCCGGCGAGTCGTTAGTCGATCCGGTATCCCGTCTGGCTTTGTCTACGCACGGCAAACCTTCTTTATCCGCATTTGCGTGCACCTCCGATGCTGATCCCGTTTCAAAGGAGGGGATAATCGACTCATCTCCATTCTCCGGCAGTCCAGCATTTGAACGTACAGACTTATCTGTCAGAATAAGGTGCTCTTGGTGTCCTGACCGTGCATCAATAGCCGACTCAGATAGTGATCCGACAGCAGCATTTGTATCGTTTGGCTGTATTGGGTGCGGCGCGTTGGTCCCGCCAGTTGAGCCCGACAGTACTTCCTGAGATGACGCTGCAGCGGGAGTGGATTGTTCGATTCCGGGCACTACACCAACAGTAGACAATTCGGTGGTAGGTGCGCTGTGGGTGTGTTTCTCCGAAGAATACACTTGAGACGAAGGCGGCTGCAGCGAACCGGATAACGTCGCGTTTGCCAGGGACGAAAGGACCTGATCTGCATCGCGTATACGGCCTGACAGTGAGGACGAGGTAGCAACATCAGAGGATTCCATTGTTTGTGCCGCGGTATGTGTGGCGTTATCCTGCGGAAGAGGGCTCGCGGAAGCAAGTCGTTCGCTCATTGGTTCTATCGATATGCTCGCCAAGGTAGCCATAGACTCCCCCAGCACCGGTGACTGTCTCCTACTCGAATTTGCACTTGAATTAGTGTCCATATCTTCAGATCCTGCATAGGACGGCGTCTTCTTTAACTCGAGCAACCGTTGTGGGCCAAGACCAGGACGAGTACCAACATCTTTCGCTCGTCCACCTAGCCCAGTCGGTAATGGCGGCTTACCGTGTACAGCACTATCCGCGGTCGCCATTCTCATAGGTGCCTCTATCGTCACGATATGCTGAGGCGTAGATGTCAACGCTAGAGCCGCGCGCAACGCTCTAGGTGCTTTCGGAGGTTCCCTGCCCAACTTGGATCCGTCACCATGCACAGGCTGAGATATCCACCGCGACGTCTTGTATGGTCTTGCAGGCTCAGCAGGCTCAGCGGTACGTGTCCGCTGTCTCTTCGCCAGAGAGCTGCGCTCGACTTCTGTTAACACGACGTCTGTAGTCATGCCATCATCCGACTGTCCCTCCTTCCTCGGTTTTCCATCCTCGGTTCTTTGAGTCGGTTTAACATCCCATCTGGACGGTGCCGCACGTCTTCCGTGGCCCGATAAGCGCACTTCCCCAAAGTTCGTCTCTCCAGAGTCGCTGGATATTGCCCTCTTCCCTGCCTCCAGCTGACTCCGACTCTCTTTCGCCAGTCTTAAGAACTCCAAACACTGCTCCTCCGTCACGAGAGACGAGACCCGCTCGTCCACAATTCGCGGGTCCATGTTTGGATCTCGTAGCCGCGCATTTCGTGAAATGAGGGGTGCGATGAGCAGCTTGGCTTGTTCAATAAGTGTCGCTCGATCCACACTAGCGGAGCGCGATGATGCTGACACCGCAAGCTCGGTGGGTGTGCCGGCACCATCTGCCTTCTCGAATGAGTGGACAGGCATGGATGGGGATGGAGTGGGCTGTTCATCGTCTGCTACCAACAGGTCGTCCACAGCAGCCTCTGATCCAGGGGATTCGCGAGATTCTTGCTCGTCCATGCTGCTCTGCTTTACAAGCTCCTTCCCTTGCTTGAGCGCATCTGCGATCAGCTGCTCCGCCTGCATATGCCGCAGGTTAGTAGTCCTTCACGCGAAGGGGATTCACATGCACGCACCAAAACCCCCGCTGGATCGATGAGAGACGGTCCCTTCGGTGAGTCATTTCTCGAATTCGCTATGCTTCCCGTCTCATCCACATCTATGATATCTCCGCCTCTAGATGTTGTTTCTTTCATCCTAGATATTCTCTCTGCGAGGGAAACGCGCCACACAGGCCTTTTAGGCGAGCCGTCCTTCGTTGGACTCAGCCGGTTCAACAGCGAGTCTGAGGTCGGCTCCAGACGAGACAGCAACGACTGCGTATCTCCCATCGGCTCCTCCTTCACCGTCACATGCGACTTCCACGAGGCATGTTTGTTATAGGATTGGTGGCCCCCTCGCCCCCGGTAGAATGATTTGCGACCCTTAAACCCGCGATTGTTATAGGGATGGTGGTGGTGATGTGCCGAGTTCGACGAGAAGTCATACTCAGGCGGATTGTGGTGATGAGGTGAATGCATTATTAGCAACAGAGCCAGCGTTGTGAGCGCATAAAGCAATGAGATTTGACAGGACCAAGACAACGAAAGATGTAGGTGTCGGTGGGGACTAAGTAAGATGTCTGGCCACCGTCATGGCTAAGACGGCGCGATAAATAGGTAGGCGCCTGCGTAGCGGCGTGTGATGATGGCGGGATATTGATGCGCCCTTTGATGCCGACGACCCCGAGGACTCCATCCACCCCACTCTTCCAGGAACTTCGTCATTTCGCAGCTGTTGATATCAGCCTTGGCCGCTCCAACTAAACTTGCAAGTCATGTTCATATCGTCCCTTCCTAATGTACAACAAAATCTTGGTGCTTGCCATGCTATTTTACATACATCTAGACCCCAGTGTAATATACGCAGAGATCATACTTCATATGGATATCATTCGTCAGTGGCACGTCGTGAGCATACTAAGCAGATTGCTGCAGTTACACTTCCAAGTATTCCTCCTTGTTATCTTGTGCAATCTCTTCATCTGACACAATGTCCTGTGCCTTGAGCTCCTCAACCGACGGTGCCCGCTTCGAGCCCAGTAAGAACCGCCCTCCGGGAGCGTCCTGGATCGCGCGCACGATGGTGTCGTGCTCAAAGAGGTAGCGAATGTCCTCGAGGGCGTATCCTTTCGTCTCCGGGAGGCAGAAGTACGTCCAGAACGCCATGATGACGCAAAAGACGCCGAAAACGAGATACGTGCCGTACGTGATGCGGTCGAGCATGATCGGCGTCAGCTTCGAGACCGTGAACGAGAAGAGCCAGTTTACGCCGATTGCGAGTGACTGCGACGCGGCGCGGACGTGGTTCGGTGCGACCTCGGCAGCGACAACCCAGGGCAGCGGGCCCCAGCCGACGCAGTAGAAGACTGCGTAGAGGTACACCGCGACGATCGAGACGTACGATGCGGGCACAATGTCTGGCTGAGGATGCACGCCGGAAAAGCCGCCGATCCAGAGCATCATGAGGCCTTGGCCCAGCCCGCCGATGATCAGGCAGCGCTTGCGCCCGAGACTCTCGACGGCGAAGGCGAGCACGAGCGCGACAGAGACGGTTTTGACGACGCCGTACACGCCAGTGGCGAACAGGCCGGAGGTTGTGCCTGAGATGCCTAGGTTCGCAAAGACGACAGGCGAGAAGTAGTTGATAGCGTTTGTGCCGGTGGCCTGCTGGAAAAACATGACGAGCGAGGGAATGAAGCAGCGCAGCGCGGTCGTGCGTGACTCGACCATGAGGGCAAATTGCCTGAGGATGGACGTCTTCTCCTTGCCCTCGAAGTCGGCTTTGATCTCTATGAGCTCTGCGAGCACAGTGTCACTGTCCGGACGAGCACCGGAAGCACGGGCAAGAGACTTGGCTGCGCGGTCGAAGTATCCGTGCTCGACGAGCCAGCGTGGGGATTCAGGTTGGAAGAGCATTGAAGTGACAAAGAGAACGCCGGGAATGAGCTGCATAATGAGAGGCAGACGCCACTGCATATTATCCGTCCCAGAGAGATTCAGGCTTACGCCATAGTTGACCCAGTCTGTGATAAGTCAGCAAGAGATCCTAAAATCAAGGCGAAAGGGGCACTTACAGCTCAACATGATGCCAATATTGTTTGCGAGCTGGACCATGCCCGTGCAGCGTCCACGGATAGACTTCGGGACACACTCCGAGACATAGGTGGGCACCAATGCGGACACCATGCCAACACCGAGACCGGCAAAGAAGCGACTGAAGTAGAACAGGCGAAGGGCGACGTCGGAGGACGTGCCCAGGCCAATAAGAGCCTGGATCAAACTACCGATGAGGTAAATCACGCCGGATACAACCAGGATTGGCTGGCGCCCAAAGGTGTTGGAGAGATAACCTGTAAACAAGGCACCGAAGCTGGGACGTACAGGATCAGCTGAGATCCACGCTAGAACAGGTATAAGGCACGCACAAGCATCCACCTTGCAGCACAGAGACAATGTTTCCAGAGAGGTTAGCCTGCGCGGACTTGCTCATGCTGTTGATTTTGAAGTAGCTCTTAAAGGACGGGAGCGTGAGCACGCCGCCGATGATGCCGATGTCCCAGCCGTAGAAGATCGAACCCAACGCGGCTGAAGCTGCGATAGCGTACGCATGTTTGTGTCGTGCAATATCGGCAAGGCCCATGGCGACAGCGGCGGTTGGAGAGAGAGAGAAGTGTATATGAGTGTATATGATTTCGGCCCTGCAGCGCACCCGCCTTATGCCCTCGCCAGAAGATCAGACGTCCAAAACCGATCTATCCAAACACCACAGAGGAGGGGTCGTCTTCTGCTCACGGGGCCTTACAGGTGGCCCTGATGGCAATGTCACTTGATGGTCGGCCAGAAGCGCGGGACCGTCATGCAGAATTGCGCGGGCGTTTAGAAATTGCGACCAGACTGACGACGAAAACGCACGATCCTCTCTCCTCTTACACCTTATGCGCATAGCCACTCGTAACCCATCGCACTCAGCCCATGCGGCCTGTCGTGTCTGCCTAATGGAGATACCGTAGTCCAGGCCAAGATACGGGATCCGGAGATTCGGAATAGTCCGGAAGAACATCATGGAGGTGCGCCAGAGTCTGCCAAAGCGGTGAACAGAAGATTCAGGCTTGAGATGGAAGGAGAGATAATCTGACGCACATACAACATTGAACGGGGCCGCCTCCAAGCGAGCATACTTTTCCACCGAATACTTTCTCTCGCTTGTGTTGGTAAGCGTAGCCTTAGACTGCCATGCTAGAGCCCCAGCACACTTTGAGCGAGAAAAGGAAAGAGAAATAGGCATATTGTTGTTCATCTGGTCG